TATACCAGTATTTGATACAGATTTAGAAAAAATGAATGTTTTATATAGATTTATAAGAACCGCTCTAGGGATACATAACTCAGAAATTTTATTTTAGAAGAAATTTTATTAGTAATAAATAGATACCTAAGACAGAGATTTTATCTTGCTAAAAATATTATAGTGTACATACTCGTGCATAGCTCATTAAATATGAAAAATATTTAATGGAAAATGCCAAAGCTTATTGACTATTCCTATGCAGACGGTATTCGGTTTTCAGGTTTTGTGAACCTGACGGGCCACCAAACAATCCGACCCTTCCAATGACGGGCCTTTTTGAAAACTGCTTAACATTAGCAATTGTAAACTCACTAAACACTGCGCCATCGGGCTCCTATAAGTTGTATTTAATGGACCGTAATAAATGTGCTGTAATAAGAATAATTTTGCTATGCTTTCGCTCGAATACGACGAATTCGTGAAGCGGCCATTATCGAAGCTTTAATTCGTGATAGTTCTTAACCTGTTACACTTTCTTAAAAATAATATTTAAAAAAACAGATGACCTATATAATGGAATTACAAAGCATGTTTTTATTAAGGCGAGATTGTACGATATTACCACTTTTTTTAAATCAAATTTTATTCTAAGGCTTTGCTAATGTTTTCCAAAAAATCATTTTGTGAAAATTAAAGTCAGAAAAAGACTAATAAACTCACACAGATGACTCCAAAAAGGTTTTTTGACTTTTAACCATATAAAAAAATAGGTTTAAATATACATACCTAAAGTATACAAAAAATAAGTTTTTATAACTGCATGTGTTTTCTTTTCTGTGATTACTGATTACAAATGTATGAAATCAAACGAACGCGTCACTTCTCTAAATGCGTATTTGTTTGCGGGTACGCACGACCGCACGTCATGCTACACACCACCATCATAAGCAGAATTCTGTTTGTAGCAATGTTCTATTCTACACAATGTATAGTCTGACGTACTTTATATCTTTTAATTTTTATTTTTGTTTCAAAAAGGGCTATTCCCATTGAAAAAATCATTGAATAAATTTGAAAATAACATGTATTTAGCAATAAGTTACGGATTAGCCTTAGTGTTTTCATAGTACTATATCTAGTATATTTATGAACCTATTTAAAGAGAGAAATTAATAGTTGAACAAAATGAAGAAAAATTACGACTACCTACTCCAAAACGTCTATCAGACGTAAAATTTATCTTTTCAGCCGAAAGAAGTACTTTCGTATATGCTTACTAGATAACTTATTAGATTACAAATGCTGAACCTTTAAAATCTGCTCAGGAACTTTTCATAAAGTTTTTTTTTAATACTTCCTAATTTGGTGTGACATCGTTTTTTTTTCAATGTTTAACAAGTAAGAGTTATTCATCAAAATAAATCTTATCGTTAGGCCTACTTTTTAAAGATTATCACAATGTATTTCCGGTGAATTATCGCCTATTTACAATTAGGTTAAGAAAATTAATAGTTTAACATTATTTTATATATACGGTGTGTGCTGGCTACCTGTCACTATTTTCATTTATTCTATCAATTTGATAGTTTATAGTAAACTAGCTGGTTTTCCGCGACTTCGCTCGCGGAAATTATAGCCCATGTTACTCGCGAGATAACCATGTTCATAGTGTGCCTAATTTCGGCTCGTTCAGTCCAGTATCTCGAGCTGTGTGTTGATAGACAGAAGCTTTACTTTACTCAGGCACCTTTGTCTTTTATTATTTAAAATATTGTAAACAGCGTGAAATTAAATATCAGTTTCAGTTGAGATATAACCTATGAAAAGAGACTAATTATGCAATAACCAGTTAGAAGGTTATATATGCGATTCCATATGGACAAGCCACGCATTCACATATAAACCGGGCTCTGGCAATTAGTATTATTGAATGAAATACTGAAATAAAAATCTTTAAGTACTTAGACAATCTTTTACGCACCTCATGATTAGATTAAAAACTTATTCCATTGTGTAAATAATTATAAATACGTCGATTGTTACTAATCAAGCGTGTCGGAGAAGTACTAGGCGCACATGAGCACGGAGGAAGTTTACAAGGGCCGTATACAATAAGGTTACCCTGTCTGATAAAGATTCAAGGTTCACCAATTAGTAACATTCACACAATAAGGTTGTCTGATTAAGACTGTTTTAATAGCTTGGTCTAATAAGAAATTGACTATGTCTTTCGTTTGTATTCGATCAACGATATTACATTGGTTCCGAAAACATACGGTTCCGATCGAGATCCCGATTTGTCAATATGGGTAATATTGACAAATCGGGATCTCTAACTCAGTTCAAATTCTAAGTTCAAAAAGTGTTTCACATTTATTACCTCAATATGTTAACACAGTGAGACTGACAATATATTTTTCACTTGATAGCCATCTTAGTTTTAGAAGTTCGTTAACCCGCATAAGATGGTCCTGTAGTCCCTACTCTATGGTATACTCTATTAATTTATGTTGTAAACTTTTTTATTTGTCGATTTTGAATTAGTTTTATTCTAAAACACATAAATTACTCCAGGTGTATTGTAAACGTTTACGTTGATTCTTAAATATTAAGAAAAAAATGTGACTACTTTGTTTAAAAAAAAGTACGTCACAGGAACATACCTAATTCATTGTTCCATGCAATTACGATAATACATACACAGGTAATAAAATTATAGTGACAATTGTAATCAACCAATCAATCAACGCCAATGTGATTTGCGTGAGAACTATGTGTTTGAGCATCGTATTATGTACAGTAAAGAAACAGAAATGTCCATGTAATCACAGTGTTTACTGTACAGACATCGCTAAACCTATTGCAACTTTATATCAAGACATTATGAATCACTTTTCAAAATCTTAATATTATATGAATTTATCATTATATAAAGCAAAATGTAAGCTCGTATGTTAAGGTCATAAAACTAAAACACCATAGACAACTTAAGGCGACATTATGCGAAATTACCACTTTTTAAAACAATCGTATTTTAAGGCTATACTGATAATTAACAAAATAATGTCATCATATGACATTGAAACATGAAAAATTCGCAAAGATGAGTAATATATTTCATCTTAACTATATAAAAGATATAATAAAATAGATTTTGATATTATCTAAATGATCTAAAAAAAATTATAACTGCATTTGTTTTTCTTTTCTGTGATTATAAATGTATGAAACCAAGTGAATGTGTATTGTAGCTACTTAATTTAGGATGAAAGCTATTTATGTGATGTTACGTATATATATTTATCATTATACTTTACTTGCTTTATGCCAGGGGCTCTCCCGGGTGGGCCTGTATTGTACGTAAACCTTCCTCTTGGATGACGGCGTGATTAACCATTAAAATATAAACTTTGTTTAACTTTGTTTTAACCCAAGTTTTTTACGTATACAAATACACATAATATTGAGCAACACAAAAGTATTATATTTATTTTTTCGTAACTTCGACATGTGATGTGTTTTCACAACACTTCACTTAAGCAACTGAGATTAGCAGCTCCATGTTAATTTGTTGTATGTAATTGAATTAGTGTAAAAGCAAATGTTAATGCAACATAAATGACGATCCATAAACGTACAACAAACATGCTGTAATTAACAAACATTTAATAAATGAGAATAACAGATTTTATAATTGAACGGCTCGATGGCGCAGTGGTTAGCAAATTCGATCTACGATACGGATATTAAGCAACATTCTCAAGGTACGGCCATAAGATGGGTGACCAAAAATTTATTAACTAGAATCCCGTCCAGTCTGTAACTGCAGTTGTTAACCGCCAATCCGCATTGTGGTTGCTCATAGTTTTGTTTCTCTACTCAATTTTATTCGTACCTTTTATACAATTTAGTCTCCTAATCACCAAATTTTTGATCTTTACTTGTTTTCTATTTGGTGATAAAAGATCTAGGTGAAAGCGTTATTCTAATATAAGTTTACAGAAAATAATGTGTGTAGCAACTATGACGAATTAATTTTTAAACCGAAACATCTGCAATAATCGTGAGGTCAGTTAAGTTACTTTAAAGGTTAACTTATACGTTATACCTTATGTAATACCATTACTCGATATAACTTATTATAAGTAAGTGAAAGAAATGTCATCGCTTTGAATATTCAATGGATTCTATGAACTTGTTGAACATTTAGTTATTGTAAACCTTCACAAAACATTAGATAAACAAATGTGTATTAAACTTTTATCCCAAATACCAGTAGATATACAATTTAAATAGGTTAACTAGTTATACTTTAAAATATACACTTTTTATGATAACTGACTAGCTATATTATTAGCAGCTTTAAACATTAGTATAACAGATAATGTTCTACCTATAGCGTACTAGAATAAGATAACTATAAAACAGATAATAGACTTACTTATTTTTTATTGGCTACATAGTTTTGTGATTCATTATACCTGCTTAGACATGAGTCACAGTAGCGACTCCATTAGTGCGACTGACTTTACTAACTAAAGTGTAAATGTATGTGTTGTTTAGCTCTTCATTAAAACTAGCCGTGGTATTATTGATAAAGTTAGAATAACTTGCTAGTAACTAAAACATTTTATTTTCGATTTTCACTTTTAAAAGCCAGTTTCAAACTTTAAAATATAGAATTCTAAAGAGATCTTTAAGTAATGGGGTAGTTACCGTTCGTTCCCAAATTAAAAATCAAGGGGGAAAAATCACTGAATGAATACTCGCCCTTGCAGTTATAAAACACAATAGATCTGCAACGGTTTTTAACATCTGCCCGCCGGCTTAGTCCGCTCGTGAGATGCCAATATTTATTATTATAGGGCCACGCTTTACTTCGGCATCTACATTTTATACTCCCATGAAGGTCAACTCCTGTTATAACAAAAACAAATAAATGTACGTTCCCATGATCACGTAACAACATAAAACATCTAATTCAAAGTCAAACACAAACGATTGTCACGCATCGCCACCTCCCAAACTATGGCCGATAATGGACCAAGAAATTACGTCACTGGCACCGATCATTAAACTCGACGACATTAGATGTACTATTCCCACGAGTAATTTTGTCTTTGTTCTTGTCTTTGCAGGATGTCGAATTTCCAACGAACGCGCAGTAAGGTATGGTGGGGTGATTCACCTCCGAACATCGGGAGTCCAGTGGCTCAGCAGCCGGACTGGAACCAAAACAATCGTAGAGATGAACCCGAGTGGGAGCCTCAGCTGCCTCATTGGATTGCTAATCAGCACGAGCAACAAAAGAACAATAGCGTAGATAATATTGCGCAACCGAACAATGTGCAAATAAACCAATGGCCTTTACGCCACGGCAGTCCTGGCAGTCACAAAAGCCAAGATTCCGGATTTTCAGATTCGGATAGTTCCCCACCGCCATCTCAGTATTATCCGGAAAGTAATGATTCTAAAGACAAATCATCTAGTAGCAGCGATTCAAATAATAATGAGAATGTGACTATTAAACTAGCGCCCGAGTATAATACTCCATCTAAGGATGTCGTTGATAGTGTAAAGGAATCGGATACTATCAATAATGGAGCTCCAACCCCCAAACCTCGTCTGCGAAGTAGTAGTGTCATACAAACACCTTACGACTTACAAATGTACTATGAAATCCACCATGACGAGGAACATATGGAGCTTCTAAAAGATGAAATTTCAGAAAGTGTTTGTTGTAAACAAGAGAAAAGTATAACACTGAAAAATGTTGTCAACGAAAAAAATAACAATGATAAAAAATGTAGAAGTAACTTAGCTAAAGTAGATAACTCAAACACTAACTCGAAATCTGAGATTAAGGAGGTGGAAATAAAAGTTACATCTCCCATTACTAAGAACAATAATGTAAACGGAAGTGCAATAATTAATGAAACCAAAGATATCACACCGAAAAATATTAATGTTTTAAGCCCATCCAAAAAGTATCCTATCATAAAATCATTTGTATCCAGCATAGAAACTGATAGCACCAAAATTAGTAAAGTAGCTAAAGTAAAAGATCTAGAAACTAGCAAGAATAAATCAGATGAAAGCTTGGAAATTATCAAGTTGTCTAATAATAACGAGATTGCAGTCAATAATCAACCGAGAGTTCGAACGCCGATATCAAACATATCTTATACTTCCACCGAGAGAATCGCTGCTACCAAAGCTGATTATAGAAGGAGTTTATCAAACGAAGAAAACATTCCCGTCGACACAACACCAAGATTCGAAAGAAATAGACTAAATAAATCATTGAACTTTGAGGCCCAGAGATTAGATCAACAGATATTAGATATCCAAGAGGGCTATCACTCATTAAGTTATATAGATGAAGATATTATTAACGAAGAACTGGAAATCCCTACTGAAGACATACATAAACCAACCAAAGCTTTACTGGGAAAGAATATAATGGATAGTTTACATCTGAAACCAAATAAGAAAATAGGGCCAAAATCTAAACACCGTAATGCGACAAAAATCGACAAAAAAGACCTATTCAGGATATTTCCTTCAAAGAAAGATAAATTAAGTGTTGTAGAAACACATGCTGGAGGCATATTGAATGGAAGCAGAGTACCATCTTTAGGATTGCCAAGAACTGCAGAACATCATTCATGGGTGCTGGTTGGCCATCCGGAACAAGAAGTACTGATACCGACGTATAACGAGCGGTTAGTGGATGCGGAAACAGATGTCACTGTAAATACTAATACAGAAGAAGACCTTAGTTATCTCAAGAATAGAAGGGTTACACCACCGCCTCAATTCCAAGATATAAAGAAGATACCAAACGAAACAGACTTGATTACAGACAAAAATTTAACACACGATTCTAAAAGAGAAAAATTAAAAGATATCGAAATCAATTTCGCCGACGTACAATTGAATCTGGCATGTACGTCTACACCGAAGATGTTAGCTCCTCACGAATACATGAACAGTGATACACCAAAGAGCGTCAAGAAAAATACTCGTAGAGTTAATTTATTACATAACTTTAATACCAGCGGGTAAGAACCATTTTATCTTATTAACTATTTCTAATAGCCTTCCATAATTCCTCAATATTCAAACTGAATAGTAATATAATTAATGTTTTTTACAGGATAGTGCTAAATAACCAGAACGAGATTTTATATAGAGAAAGAAGTATCGATCATACAAATTTGGAACGAATGTGTGAAAGGAAACCAGAGCCTGTACAGCATTGGCTTTGTGACCTTGTGGGGTCTTGTGAAAACGAATGCATGACGACTCTACAAAGTAAACCCTTGGGCACTGAAATGAAAGCATTAGTCACTGCCAGCTCAGCCACCATCACAGGCAATATCAAGAAAGTTCAAACGCACGGACAGATCATTATTCATCAATATAGCGACGTTTTGAGGTATGTTACTAATATAAGCGCTGTCAACTTTTTCTTTTACATCATAGTTTCTCACTCATTAACATATTGGTCATGAAATAATCTATAAAGTTTCCTTCATAACATTTTTAATCATTAACATGTTACTTTATGCCCTCGAGAATAATATAAAATTATGTACCAATAACTTACCTGACCCACGTTTGTAAACATCTCCGAATTTGAATCTGAATTTTTCTTACGTAAAACAAATTCACATAATCATTAACTGCTTATCTCATCAATAACAACTCAATTGCATAATTACAGGCAAATTGATACGAACAAAATAAGCGAAGAGCAAATATGCTTATTGGTGGCTAATATAAACGAATTCGTGTTAGCTCACAGCATAACTCTTAATACCAAACCTCCCGGTGAAAGCCCAGAAAGATGGGATAAAATAAAGAAATCACTACAGTTGTATCTGCAAAAACTAATAGATATTGGTGAAGATGTGAAGGTCGAACTCAACGAAAGTCGACCGGAATGGAGTTTAGTACAAAAACACCTGGATACGTTAATAGGAATATTTTTGGAGACAACGAAAGCTGTTTTGGTACAACAAACAAAGGTGAGACTCTATTTCTTGATACATGAAGTTTATATTCATCAATAGATAATTATTTTACTAAAAAAATAAAAACATCTGTATTAACAACAGTGAAAATTAAAACAATACTGAAATTAACTAGTTTTATGTGTTGTAAACGTTGTCTCTCTAGACTGAGACAAGAAATTTGCAATTTAAATTTTGATCATTCACGCATTCTACTGGTATGCAACTCTCAGACGGAGAGGAACGAATACCAATATATGTATGTTTAAATAATGAGATACATAATCAATCATCAGTTTTATTTTTACAAGTGAAAAGTTACCGTGACTATTTCATGTTTAAAGAATCACTTATAATATTGGGCAGTTGAATTGAAACTACACTTCGACTTAAACTTTTTTATAAGTACACCTAGTTATTGACAAATTATATTTAAACAACACGATAGGAAAAGTTTTCCCTAAAATTCACGTCCACTTGGTTCCGACATACAATATTTCCATAGCCATTTCAATTAATATAAATATATCATTTTTTTTTATTTACAACAAAATATATACCTATCTGTCATATGCTAGCGATCCGTGTTCAATAATAAAATAACCTACAAACAAGCAATTTAACAATATTCATTCTTTTCCAGACGCTTGTGTCGATAATCGAGGAGCCACCATCAGACATGCTACTCAAAAGCACTTTGACCTCGATCGGCCATCTTGCTATGTTGAGCGAAAATACCGAGAATTCACTGCACGAGAAATGCGCTAAGATCATGAAAAACATCACGGAATTACCTTTCGTCGACTGCGGGGTGCCTAGGGCTTTACTCATCGCTATCATAGAGACCAATAAGAGCTCAATCAAGGCTCTCTCTTTGAGAGCTTTAGCGACAGTTTGTGTAACTGCGGATGCTGTCAAGCAATTTGAAGAGGTAATAACTGTTAGTTGTAAATTAATTACAAGCTGAATTGCTTTTACTAAGTTGATCTCAAATTAATATCTATATAATAAAAACAGAAGAACTTTTTTAGGCTAAGCCTTCCGGAAAGTTATTGAATAAAATTTCAAAATTACATGCATTTTTTACTTATAAGCTTAAAAAATGGATAACCAAATCGAGTTTTATAAGGAAATCAGTTCATAATACCACGTTAATTTAAATTAACTGCTACACGTTTCACGTAAACTTTTGTTTGTTTTATGCAAAGACCAATCTCAGCTTTCTATATTGCCTGTATCCTTGTGGTGTTAATTTTATTGTTTATTTCTTCTAGGGAGGTGGTATAGAGATTCTTTCTGATATTTTATCTGATCGCTCTAATCCGGAGCCTCAAATGCGGGAAGCCATAACGGTTCTAACACAGATCACTGCTCCATGGCTCCGCGGCCATTACGACCTCAACCAACTGCATCTGTATTTGAACACCATAGTCGAAAATATCACTGGTATGTACGAAAGGACATCGACCATTAATGTTTAACAACAGTGGAGAGGATTGTGGCGACATCTGTTGTCTAGTAGCACAATTATTATCTATACATTTTTTGCTACATCACAGATTGTATAAAATAATGTAAATAATTCAAAACTAACTCTCCAACACGATCGCGACCGATCAATATTGCAATTGTGCCGTTTCGTGCTCTTAATTGGGTACGCCAGAGTATACTAGTGAACCAATCAAAAGTGCGGAGCGGCACAATTGCAATATCGATCGGTCGAACATAACAGATTGAAAATATTTCAACAACAAACATATTTAAAAATATTATTATGATAATTTGCGGTCATAATCAGCGCCCGCCTATCAAAGTTTTATAGTGGAATATTACGAATAAATCTTTGTGAATAGTAAAAATAAAGTTTATAATAAAATGTTGTCCCCGCAGGTCTCTTATGTCGCACGGAGTGTTGCCAGCTGTTATTATTGTGCACTGCTTGTCTCGTCAATTTAGTCCGAGAGTTGGAATTGGAAAAGAGAGAGGATGATGCTAGTGCCACCAAGTCTGATATAGTTGAAGTGTTCAATAAACATAAGACCGTCGAACGATTGCTCGAAGCAGTAAGGAAACGTGGCCCGAGCATATCAATATTTTTACAAGTAAGTATACCATTTTCATTTATATATATTTAACAATTAAATCATAATTTGTGACCAAAAATTGGTTCTTAAGTATCAGTAGTACCATCTAGCGACGGAAAGTTAAATCGACTCACTTAGAACATTTAAATCTATTTTAAATTCCAAAAAAAAATCAAAAGTACCTATTCATTATTTGAATTCAGCAGTTTATTACGATATTTTCTAACTTAGAAATGAAGAAAAGTCGTAGTTTCTACTTAGAACTTTGAATTAATTTATAATGAAAATATATTAAGCAGTCCCAAAAGACCAAAATGGAACCAGTGGAAAAAAACATGTCTTCTGTTTCATTAATATTATAAATGCAAAAGTCAGTTACTTTCTCAACAAATAACTACTGAACGTATATTGATGAAATTTGATTAATACTTAATTCTAAGTCAAAGTTAATACAGGCTACGTTTTATCTCACTAAACGGTTCCCTAGAGAGGCTCCCGTGGGCTGGAAAGCTAGTATTTTGTATGTTGGAGAAAATATGATCCCGTGTTTAGTTCCTCCTTAACGGTCCGAAAAGAAGGCCAGAGCAGCTGCAGATGGGACATCAAAAAGGCTAATAATGAATGCATGATCGGATCTACGATTTGATTAATTCGTATGGTGCCGTTTATCGCCCTCCTCCCCCCCCCCCCACGCTCTGTGCGTCTGTCCGACGCATCGTAGCAATGTATGGAGAGATTTGTACAGCTCATTTTTTTAAATTCTGAAATGGGTTCACACTACCAGGGACAAAGTGGATTTTTAAGCATTTTCATTAAGAATACACACGAATACTTCATTGTGAATGCAACATTGATCAAACATTATAAATGTGAATGGGTGTTTTAGAATGATAATTTTAGCACCCAGGCACACGGGCGCCCCCACATGCTCCCCTAGATGTGAGCCTGTTTATGTGTTCGGTACAGGAGCAGACGGGTTCGTTCCTCGCGTCGCTGTGCAGGATCCCGCGCTGCGTGCTGCCCTTGTCCCGGCCAGCGGCGGTGAGCGCCGCTCTGGTGTGCTTCACGCGTTGCGGCCCGGCGGCCGCGCACACGCAGCGCGCCGCCGAGCAACGCGCGCAGGCGCGGCTGCACTGTCACGCCGCCGAAGCTATATCAAGGTCAGCAGCACAGCGTCAGCTTAATGTAACATGCCGCCTTAGGCGAGTGTATCCAACTTTGGCGGTCACACAGCAAGTTCTACGTTTCTTTTTTTTTTCTAGCCGGGACATAAACAGTGAAGCCGGATTTTATATTATATTCGGGAATACTAACAGCACATGATTTTTATATGAGACATCAAATTAAATTACAGATGGCCAATAAGGTTTTCACGGTCATTAACAGTTTTAGAACAGAAAAACATATTTGCACCAGAAAAAAATTATACAATATTTTTGAATGTAACAAAATACTGACAGTTAAAATGCTAATGCATATTCATCAAGACTCAACAAAAAATATCATCGCTCATCAACCGCCTAGCCCCTGATATAATATTATCGTATTTTTTTGTATATTTTTATTTTAAGTTATTTTTGTTTTTGAATCATGTCCGTCCCATCGTAGCCTGTGAAAAGATTTTTAGAGCTAGGTTTCTTTTTTAATTGTAAATATTATGTACTGAAGATTTTGACGCCCTCCTAACTGGCGCCCGGGCGAGTGCCCCCACTTGCCCCAGCTCCGGGCAAATCCGAGCCTGTCGCACAGTCGTGGTCAAGTCATAAAGCTGATGTCTGCTATTCTGATACTAGTCAATTTCTTCTCAACAAATTGGATCGTTTGCTAAATACTAATCGAGTCATATATTAATTTCGTAAATACGGTTACATCTCTGTTTATGGAAAATAACTTAGATGGCTTACTGTTAACCATCGCAGGGACCGAGATGTCTGTATGCCTCCAACAAAATTTTTACACCAATTTTCGCAAAGCGACACTTTTTTGCGGCCCGGAATTATATTCGGGAACACCGGGACGGAAAAAATGTTCTGATGTTCTGTTATGCTTTCACACTTAACTACTGACCTGATTTTAATGATATGTTTTAGAAAACTTAGAACAAGTTAGATAACCCTAAAATTACAATATTCTAATTCTAAATAAAATTTACAGATTGACTGTAATACCAGAAGTGGCACACCAAATAATACAGCTGGAAGGAGTTCCTCATCTTACCAAATTGGTAAGGACGCAGAGAACTCGCCCGCAGCTCAACCCGGGCCCGAACGAGATCAACCCTGACCAAACCCTGATCCACTGCCTCAAGGCCCTGAGAAACATCTACAGACACCACCCGGAAGCTTTCCAAGAGTACCAGAAGGACGTAGATGATATGATCCGACCACATTTAATGGAATCTCTCATGTTGTTTTCGGCTAAACAGGAGAGTTATGTTTAATTTTATCAGGTTGCATTCGCTGGAGTTCTTCCACGATCACACCGATTTTATTTATAGCTCATGAGACTTCTTACTGTAGTTTATGAACCAAAAAAGCTGTTTATATTAGACGTTAAAGGAGCATAAGTATAAAGTATATTTTAGGTACTACCTATTTCGATAAATAGTGACATGACAATGTTATTGCAGACTGCTCCATCTAAAAGAATCAATTCAAATTCTGCAAATCTAACCGTTCTTATATTTCTTCTCAAGCTTTGTACATACAAAAGCTTTATTTAATAAAATATTTAGCTTTGTAAAATATGCTTTTTTAACACCTTTTTTTAACGTGACTTTTATTTTGTTTTAAGTACTGTCAACGGCACATCATCTTGTACTAAAAGTGTCAAGTTTCTGCACTTGACCTTAAACTTTAACACATGCTGGTAGAGTTAAAATCAATTGTGTAAATTTGACTTTTTTTGTAACACGATGTGTTATTTTTTGACATACGTTTACATTTTTTACTAGTATTAAAAAGAGGCCATACTTTTTGCTAGTCCTTAACTCATGTATTAATTATTCTTTTAAGTACGGAAGGATTGGCTCCAATCTTTTATTCTTTTCATATATTTATTCGGAGAATACGAGACCATTTGAGTCGGACTTATTCCCTCTGAATTATATCCATTCATACTTTGAACCTCGAATATACCACCTTATATTAGAAAAGTTGATAAACTTAAAACGTAGATAAGTATATTAAAAACTGTAAAGATATATCTTTATAATACTTAATGAGATGTGGGAGTATACCTACTACTTATTGTTATTCTATTTACAAATGAAATATATCCTTATTATGATGTGACTTTTTTATTTCATGTATAACCCTTTGCGTCCCCAGGCTTAATATCAGAAGTAGTCTATATCAATAATAAAGCCGAGGAGTTCGTTTGTTTGGTTGAGACTCAGGAATTACTTGAACGAATTATTTTTTTGTATTAAATACTACATTTCTCAAGAAAGGCTATAACATCACGCTTTGACTTGGAGTCGAGCAACAATGAAAAATGTTGCAAAAACTGGAGAACATTTTACTTTTTTAAGCTTTCCTTGCGTGCGCTGCGTAAGCGTTGAATTCCATGTCATCTTTTCCACATCCATTATTAAATGATTAAAGCGGTTTATATAGGATTTACTAATGTTTTGAATAAATCAAGTCGATAAAATTGGTGTCGCTAATATTAAATGCATGTTATGTTGGTTAAGCCCACGCACATATATTTTTTTTTAATTTTGTCCTTATTGTTTTTCAATTTTAATGAAACAAAGTCGGTTTTATTTTCCGTTTTGCGGTTCCCTAGTCAAAAATCCTAATGGTTTCAACAAATAGGTGGAATAAACGTTACGGCAGTAGTTTTTATATATAGTTGGATTTACAAATTTACGAGTAATAGTTGACGAAATGTATTTAATTCGAAAATTTCGAATAACTCCTTTGAAAACAATAATCATGATTTTTTGCGTTTTTTAAGGTACGGAACCCTTCGTGCGCGAATCCGACATGCGGTTGCCCGGTTTTTTTTTATAATGTATTTTAATAAAGAATTATTTATCGGATGATAAAATAATATATGTTTTTCTATTAACGAGATACTTTAATACATAGCCCGAGAAGTATTAAATGAGGAAGTACTTAAAAAAACATTAGTTCCCGAAATCAAACTAGATGTCGTTACGGTGCTTTCTTGATATCTCCATGACATCCTTCCCGGTTTTCTTTCATGTATAAAAGTAAATTAATGTTATCAACAAAATACTCATAGTCTATTTGTACTTTTTCGTATTTGTATTGATATCAAAGTTTCTAACTTTGCTATGAGGAAGTATTAAAAAAAAAACCGAAAGCATTAAAAGGCATCTCCACTAGATGGCGACTCTAGCAAAAGTAGATTTTTGCAGGAAACGAATGGACCAAAGTCAGTCATCTCCGTTCCTTTGAACTAACATATTAAAAAACTAAAGTTTGTAAAGTTCTAAACTTAGATATACCTAACTACAAATACGAAAAAGTAAAAATAGAATATGAGTTATTCATTGAGTTTTGAAATCTAATTAACTTATAAACTTGAAAGAAAACTTAACACTTAGAAAACGAACTTAAAAACAAAAAAAACGTACCGAGGCGACATCTAGTTTGATTTCGGGAACTAATGTTTTTTTTTTAATACTTCTTCCTCATTTTCTGTTTTTTAATGTTAGTTAAAAGAAACGAAAATTACCGTCTTTGGTCCATTCGTTTCCTTTTGGTAGTTGCCATCTAGTGGAGATGCTTTTATAGTGCTTTTTTTTTAATAATAGATGAAAAACCTATTGAAATCTATTGCTTTAATACCTCTTATACAATCTTATATAATGCAACGCGAAAGTTTAAAAACTTCCTCATTATGTTTGCAAAATGCACTATACTTACCATAATAAGGAAGTAACCACTGTGTAGTAAAATCATTTTTCTTGATATGGTTAAAAAAGAAAACAACAGTAAAAATTCGAAAATTTAATAAAATACTAGTAATATAATAAAAATTTGCTTAAAATTAATTTATTGTCACATAATTGCATCATCCATATGACTGCTTCACATTTTTAGAGTGAACTATATCTACAGTTGTCTCATGACACGGTCTCAAGTCCATATCATATACTCCTAAACAAAATTTATTTTCAGGTGCTTTATAGAAATCAAGGCCCCTTCCAATCTTTATAATCCAGCCAGAACTCAGGCTGAAAGAAAAGTAAATCTAATTATACTTTACATTATATATATTTTGAAATATTAGAAAACACAAAAATTTTGTTATAATAATAATAATATACAGGTTAAATTAATTTTTATTTCATTAAAAATATATAATTGCAATTTTGTTGCTAGTATGCATGTGAGACTTTGTAAATAAACTGTAAAAATTTATCAATGTATAAATATAAATAAAGTCCAGTTACATCTAGACCACCCTACATATCACAACATTCAGCACAGGGCATATGTAATCAGTTCCATATTAAAAATATGAAACACATCCAAAGCAAGGTGTGGTGGACAAAATTTATAAATAGCTTAAGAATTATATTACTCACATAATTTGCCTATCATGCAATGTTTCTGAATATTTCACAACTAGTTTCACTTTATATTTCATCAGATCATTTGACAAATTGCTAAACCACTCCCTCTGGTCACTCTCCGATTTGTTATCTTTTGTTGTAACTAGTTCAATATGCCTTAGATTGCTGCATGAACGTACTGATAATTCACAGAGCCTTAGGAAATTTTGACACTGAAAAGTATTGGTTAAATTGAGTTTCACCAACTAGTGGAATAAAAAGAACATAGGCACATTTAGTATAAGTAAATATGTTTTTGGTCTTTAATATGTAGTTTTTGAACAATGTACTAAAGTTCTATTAAAAAACAATCTCCCAATTGTTTTAGATAACTGCCATATCACCCATATCCTAAAGAACCCCACTTCTATTAAATCGAAACTATTCCAGTTAGTAAACATTTATTAATGACTTACCGTCAGAATTAAAAGACAGCATTTCCAGAAAAAATATTAAATACAAGTTAAAGAGGTACTTTTTTAATACATTGTAAATAATTTAAGGCTATTATTGTAACTGTCTATTGATTGTAATGTTCGTATTTGTAATATGTTGCATCTGATTTTATAATTACGAAAATAAAAACAAATGTAAACTCTGATAACACAAATCAAACCTCAGTGGTTTTTAGATGTTATCTTAAATTGTTTGTTATGTATATGTTTGTTTACTTGATAATAAAGGAAAAATAAAAAAAAAAATTATTTTAAGGCAACATTATGTACTTTTATTATAGTAAAACATTATATCCTTAACTTACCTGATGAAAACTTCTTATGTATGGGTCTTCAACAACTATGAACTGCACATCTTCATCTAAAAATCTACCAAATAGTGTTTTATAACTGTGACCAGATGAATTGTTCTCTATGTGCACTTGCTCATGAAACTGGCCATTTTCTTTCTGCTGTAACACTAGCTTTTTTATTGCTTCTGCTCTATTCATGTATTCTTCAATCTTTTTTCGCAAATAATTTCTAGTGTTTTCATCTGGTTCACCTATAATAATATTATAGCTGTAACATTAGTCATAAAACTGTTATATCTAACATGATTGCATTTCAGTTAATTTTAATTTATACCTTTCATTTTATCCACTAATATTTGAAGGCCTTCTTGGTAACAAATAAGGGACTCCGTATATCTCTTTTTGGTATCTAACTCGACACCACGCTTTAAAATATTAACTGCAGTGCTTTCTATATTCATTATGTATATATTCCTGATTTATTAGATGGGGGATTCAATAAAAACAACAAAGTATAAAACAAGCGATAGCAGCAAGCAAATAATAATATACTCTGTGACTCTGTGGCAGACAAGCAAGCAGATATACCTCGTAAGTCGTCTCTAAGTCGTAGAGTATTATTGTTCTGTAACGGTGTGCCATGCCACCGTTTGTTTTCCTAGGTTTCAGTATGCAAACTTTTTGCTTTTGAAATTCAACATCATTTCATTTTACTATTCGTCTTTCGTAATTTAAAATTTTGACTAATCAATTTTACTCTTTATGGATGTCAGTTCGTAAGAAATTCTCCTATACACAAGATGAAATTATAATATAATACAATATTATTGGTATAAATTTTACTATGTAATTTTAATAATTCATATATTATGGTGATACAATAATATAACATATTTACTAAATTAAAACTGTATTTTGTACGATCCAAAAGTGTAACAAGAAGCCCGACAAGGGGTATGTATTCGTTTATTTGATAAGAATGTATTAGTTTAAGTAACTTACGAACTGTTTTTTAAATTTATTTTTGTTTGTTACAGTTTTTTATTATTACCCTTATTTCATCAATAAATTATACTCAAGCTGATCAGCCTATTTAATTGACCCAAGCACCGAACCCGTAACACTGGCGCCGCAACGTGGTTGAAAAATAGGCTGACTACTGCAATAGAAGACAATAGTGCACACTTTACGACCAACACCACAATCACATTTACTCACATAAACAGACAATAGACGTTCAGCGTTACTTTGGCTGGTCACAAATGTGATCGGTTCTGATGCCATTGTATCGAGGAACATACAAACACGTACTCAACATAGTGTTATAAAACAGGAATATTTAATAGTAAATAATCTAATTAAGATTCCGTATATATAAAGGTACGTAAGGCATTACTTTAATTTTTTCAAAAATTTGCTGAGATTTCTTTTTGACGAATAATATTATTTTTAATATTTAAAAAATAGAATATTGTAATTTATTTTCCGTTTACGATTTGACATTCATTTCTTTTATAATAATCAATTTTAATCATGGATATATCGTACTTGAATAAACCAGAAATTATTTATGAACTGAAATTACGAAACGCGAATTTTGAATCCACCCAAACGGCTCAAGAATTGCGTGAAATTTTATTACCAATGATAGGAGACCTTGAGAAATATTCTTGGATTACTTATTTATTTATTGTTACTACCCTGTAAATACTCATAACGTTTTCATTTGATTATTTGGCTACTCATACTTATTGTTATTTTTATTATCTTCATAATTTATTATTTTTATCTAGTGCGGTTGACAACACTATAAATAAGCCAATGTCAAAATACCAATTTAGTGCGGATGACAACACTATAAACAAGCCAATGTCAAATATCAATTTTAAAGTGCGGTTGATAACACTATAAATAAGCCAATATCAAAATATTTCTTTGTGTACTTATGTATACTTATTTACTTACTATCTAACACTACATAATGTATTGTTATACCTAATGCATTACCTACTTTATTTATTACTACGATTGTATATTATTCTACACTCTACATTTAGACACTTACACAACACACTCATCTACACTCAACAACACTACACAATTCACCTAAAGTCAGCGGGTGGTGACTGACATTATTTTAAAGAAGCCTACACTATTTTCTAGGTCGATTTATTAGAGATAATCTTTCTTAAATACAAGTTACCTCTAATTGCTAGGAATTTTTATCTTAATAAGATAAAGATTGTTTGAATGATGTTTGAATGATGAAGTAAGAACATTTTATGAAAGGGAAATCGCCTAATGTAATTTATCCACTATATATACCATCCCCATTTCTAAATTAAATCATGATAGCATTAATTAATCACATTTTATATAAAATATTTTAAGCTTGAGTAATCCAAGAATATCTAAAAAAAAATCTTTCAGATTTTTTTTTAACCCCGGCCCCCCCGGTATTGTAACGGTGTGCCATGCCACCGTTTGTTTTCCTAGGTTTCAGTATGCAAACTTTTTGCTTTTGAAATTCAACATCATTTCATTTTACTATTCGTCTTTCGTAATTTAAAATTTTGACTAATCAATTTTACTCTTTATGGATGTCAGTTCGTAAGAAATTCTCCTATACACAAGATGAAATTATAATATAATACAATATTATTGGTATAAATTTTACTATGTAATTTTAATAATTCATATATTATGGTGATACAATAATATAACATATTTACTAAATTAAAACTGTATTTTGTACGATCCAAAAGTGTAACAAGAAGCCCGACAAGGGGTATGTATTCGTTTATTTGATAAGAATGTATTAGTTTAAGTAACTTACGAACTGTTTTTTAAATTTATTTTTGTTTGTTACAGTTTTTTATTATTACCCTTATTTCATCAATAAATTATACTCAAGCTAAGCAGCCTTATTAATTGACCCAAGCACCGAACCCGTAACAGTTCTGTGGCCTGTGGATAATACCTTGGAGTAAATGTGTTCTGTGGATAATACACAAATACTACTCTTTGATACACAAAAAGCCATGAAGCTAAAGAAATAACTTCTTTTACTAAGTTTAAGTTCTTTTACTTTATCTTCATGCAAAAAGCACACGATATAGTTTTTTTTTAATAGTTTATTCTTGGCTTGGATGCTTGTCTTTTAGCCGAAAGTACACGATACCACATCCAGTGTCGCCAGGGGCAGTTTTGTGAATTTTCTCCGTATCATATAGAAGGATTCCCCTTTTGTTGTAGTAAATTTCCTCTTAAAAATTTATTGGGTACATGAAAACAAATGATTTTTTTTTAATTTGAAAATATCCCTGACAGAAATTCTACAAAATTCTGTTTGGCACTTTTTGTGGTACAACTTAAACGAATAGGGTATTTGACACTATCGAAAATAAGTTGCATTTTGTGGTCATCCTGATAGATAATAATCTAATAAAGCTTAATTCTTAACATCTGTAGAAAAAACATGTTTAGATTTAGTAAAATAACGTAAAGAAAATGCAATATTTCTAGGAATTTATTCAACGACGAAAACGTCGTATAATTGGTCGTCGTCACAACCAATCACGATTCTGTTTACTGGCCTGTGACGTCATCAGCTGTCATGTCATGTAGTGTTAGAAGATGCATAAAATATCGATGCCTGTAGGTATCGAGTACTTTATAGTAATTTACTGATAACAGAATACTTTGCCGCTTCTATTGATAAGAACTGCCAAAAAGAAATACAGAAAAAAAGAATCATTACTAAGCTTTTTAAAAAATCCAAGAAATAGGGAAAACGCCAGCAATTTAAAAAAAGAACAACTTACATGTTTTTCTCATTTCTTGAACTTTACTATAATAATTCAAAATTACAAAGTCGATTTTGATGATATATGATGTTCTCCAAGTTAAAAACTAATTTAAAAAAATCATCGGTATCTGATATCTAATTATCAAATGCCATGCATTTAGTGGACAGACATACTACATGCATGTATAAAAAAATAGAATATTCTTTTTCGTACTAATGTCTCATCCATCTGTAGGTCGACAGGCTGTAAAGTGCGAGCCCTGTCAACAAATATAAATGAGTCGTAAAATGTTAATGACAAAGAAAAAAACCAAAAAGAAAACCTTCAAATGTATCGATATGAAATAAAAAAGTTTCAATACTTTTAGCGAATCCTTACCTAATTTTATCACCCATCTCTACTCTATATAGCTACTATACTATTGTGATTGTGAATCTATTTTCTTCTAGACTCGAAGTTTGTTTGTTATTTATAGAAGTATTAGTACATTGTGGCACTACGCACCACTTGTAGCTCACTTTTTAAAGAAAACCAGAGCAGAGGAAAATAAAAAACGTAAAAAATACGCACTACGACTTCAATTTCTCTTTAAATTATTATTTCAATTTACTCTAGGGATGATCGATATTCATCGATGTTGAATAAATCGATGTTTTGTCATCGATGTTTTAATTGGATAACATCGGCAATCGATGTTTTCGTGCCAAACATCGATGTTTATGAATAAAATGTCAAGATACCCTTTGGCCATCTAACGTGCTCTAGATGATCTCGTATATCAAGTTCAACTATTTTATATTACATGTCACCGGTTGCACTCGTAACTGGAATACGCAAACAAATAGTTTATTCTTTGCTTGCATTTTCCTAGAAAATTAGAAATAAATCTGTCAAGTTCAGCGCTCGTTGGTATCTTATAAGTTACTTTATTCACTGGTCTTAGTTTCAAAGATCCGTACATTAGATAGTTCCACGTGCGAGTGCGGAATCGAAAAAGGTACCACTGATCCCACCCTCTTCAACTGTCTGAAACAACCTACTTCATATGAGCAACTTCCATCTAAAACCCCCTGTCCCATTAACCTTAATACTATCTTGTCTATTTCTAACATACCTATATTTTTGCGTCTTGTAAGCATATTAAAAAATATAACAATATCCTATAATGTACATGGCACTATCATATATTTATTGTGATATTTTTTTATTTAATTTATTAGTACAATTTATGACGTTTGCTTTGTGTTGTACTTTTAGAACAAGGAAGGAAGAAAACTATTACGTTTCTCACTATCCCGTAAAAGTTATGTGTAAAACATAAAAAGGTCATTTATGTATATAAAAAAAGTTACTTTTTGCTCGTTGTGTTGGTTCTCTCTCCGTGAAACTCCCGCGTGATTTTTTATGACACTTGTCTTATTCCATTACTTTTATGTTAAGGGGTAGAATCCACCTATCCCACATAAAAAAGACTGCATTAAAATATTTATGTTGCACAGCGACTTCCACGGCTTCAGGGAGGCTTTTTTCTAAAGCTGGTCAATTCCTTTAATAGCAACGCAATCGATGTTTGGGGAATATCGATGGTTTTCATCGAATGTTGACTACGATGTCAATATCGATGTTTTTCCAATATCGATCATCCCTAATTTACTCTAAAGACTATGGTTGTTACTTATCGATTTGACATATTTACTGGCCTGTGACGTCACGATCAGCGCCATAGTACATAGAGCAGAATTTTTCGCGCGCTTTTGGCTATTTAAATTTTAACAATTATTTCACCAAAAATAGAAAAGATTCCAATGAAATATTATGACAGTATGTTTATAATGTAGCAAACAACGATTTCAAATAGTTTTCAGAAAAGTGTCAAATACCCTATTTTGAGGGTGTTTCCCGTAGTTAGTGTGGAGCTTATTAATATACACTACCCTATAAATTGGACCCTAAAAAGCCCTCTATACAGTAGGAAATCTCAGCTATGACCCAGGTAACCTTAGTTGGATAGTGCACAAACTTAGTCGAGGCATCGAGACATGTCATCCACATCTGTTGGTAACCAATGTGGTCTAAAGTCTGTTTTTTATTTTCAGAAACTAAATGAGGAAGTATTTAAAAAAAGAAGCACTAAAAAGCACCTCGCTAGATGGCGAATATAGCAAAAGTTAAAAATCAACTTTTGCTATATTCGCCATCTAGCATTAAACGAATGTACCAAAGATAGACATTTCCGTTCCTTTTAATTAACATATTAAAAAACTGAAATTTGCAAAGTTCGAAACTTAGATATCAATACAAATACGAAAAAGAATAAAAAGAATATGAGTTATTTATTGAGTTTTGAAAATGTATTTTATTTTATTTTTACAAGAAAAAAAACCTGAAGAATTGTCATGGATAAATCAAGAAAGTATATTGATTGATTTGTTGATTTCGGGAACTAATGTTTTTTTAAATACTTCCTCGTTAGCATTTGCTTGTGCTGCCAAGTTTTTGCAATTCTTCAATAGTGAGTGCCTCAATCGAACTTAAAACGAAAAAATATACTAGATTACCGTTTTTATTATAAGTCACTATAAAAAATGTTAAGAAGTGTACCCGCTTAAGGAGTCAATAACAGTATGATACAGTATATTTAAAAAGAAATATAAATGATTAAAAAAAGCCACACTTGGCATTCCATCAGTCTTGACATCAAAGTCTTGTAATGGACCAACATGTATTATTATTATTTTTTTACATTTAGAAATAGTTTTTGAAAATTAATTAGTTAATGTTTATAAACATAAATCTCGCACCAAAAATCATTCTAAGGAGAATCTTTAAAATAAAAATAGGCTCGGCCAAACAAATTCCCCTTCTATGATTATTTATATTTTAAAGATTTCATTTTTATAATTTTGTGATTATTAAAAGTTTTGTTTTTTATTTAATTTTTTATTCCATTAAAAATGTGCATTATTTTTACGTTTTTTCTAAAGCTAAACATGTTTTCAAGATTTAAACTTTATTAGATTATTATCTAACAGGATGACAACAACATGCAAATTATTTTCAATAGTGACAAATACCCTATTACTAGAGATTTATTTTAAAAATCGAAGTGATTCCTCGGTCAACTGTCGAAATTGAATAAATATATTTTTTTATTAATACAAGAACAACTAATGATCTTTCAAATATTATTTTTGTTTAGTGCATGAGACATTTCGTGCAGAATCTGGGACACCCTTGCTACTTTTAGCAAGGATGTCCCAGATTATACAAGAACAAGTAAAAATTGATCATTCAAATATAATTTTTGTTTAGTGCATGAGACATTTCGTGCGGAATCTGGGACATCCTTGCTACTTTTAGCGTACACTTTATTGTTTTGTCGGTTAAACTTTTCTTTGACAGTAAAAATTTTCTTGTCGCTGCAGGGTATCTTGCTGGCATCATGTCTCCTCAGCAGCAATAGACAACGTTCACGTCGTAACTCACGAAGGCGATTGTTTAAAAAGTGAACTTTTCCACGACGAATAGGCCTTTATATTAAGGTCATATTTCAGTATTCTGTTCACTGAACGACACTACACACAAGTCGATATATCACTTTATAACGATAATTTAATAATTTTCTCACGATTTGTTCGTGCCCTGGATTGGTTCTTATTTACCATTTATTTACAGTCCGATTATATGTGTCAATTCAAACCTCAGCGATGGGCAATTGTTGATAATAATTATTGAATCAAATGATCGTTCAACATATGAACTGACGTTCATATATCTTCAAGATCTATATCTTTCCAAGGATTTTATTTCATTCGGATAAATGTTCGAATAAATCATTCAAATTAATCCAAGATGTTCCAAGCATTCGTTCAAAGTTTTATTAATAAATTATTTTAAAATAAAAGGCATCGCACTGCCATGTATTAAAATAATATTTTTTTTGTGAAGAAAATTGATAAAATTGGCCGTGATTTGAATGCAAAATATTACTAAATCGATAAATATCTTTAAGGAAACTGCTTAGCTTAATTTTTTTTTCAAAAAGTAGAAATAATTTTATTTTTGTGAAAAAAAATTAGATAAAGTAGTTATCGTTCATAAATAGACTTTTATTGATTGTTTATTACGTAAGCACTCTTTTTATAATTGAACTTTTCACTTGTTCTGCGAATGAATGAATCAAATGAATCAATCACATTCGCCATGATGGGACCTCATATTTTGTGACATATTGACATTGACATACGTTGACATTGACAAGAACAAGAACTGAGAAAAGACCACACTGGATTTGAGGACGACTTATAGCGACTTATTCGATAAAAGTTTTCAAATTTAGAACATTCATTAAAGCTAAAATTAGTCAGTAAAATATACTTTTCCTCTTGTCTTTGTTAGTAAACCTTACCGCGGAGAACAACGGCGGCCGGCCCAGCTGCCTAGTGCATGGAATGTAAATAAATAAAACTAATGTAAGACAAGTGAAAAACCGAATCAATTTAAGTCTAACTTAGCAGTGTTTTTAGTATAAATTATGTCTCATCAGTTAGGTCGTGCTGTTTCTGAAATACTGCATAGACATTTTGGAGAAATAGTTCAACAAGTCGGTAATGATTTATTTACTTATGGAACCAAACCAGTTGGCATGATTGTAAAAACAACAGGACTGCCTAGACAACAGGTAAAACTAAAGTTATCTAAAAGTTAAACCTAAAATTATGAAATTCCTTTATTAGCTGATTAAACAATGGTTTTAATTATAGGTTATAGAGAGTCTTCGGACTCTATTGAAATTTGATCTAGCTGCATTTGAACCATCAGTTAATGAATTGATAGCTGACTACAAACTTTTACCTGAAAATGTACTATTGTTAATACGGTACCCAAGGTAAATATAACATGTGTTTTTATCTAGAATCTCTTTGTAAATTCTATAAAACTGACATTAAATCTTTTAAATCTTTATCAGATACCTTCTTCAAATGAAAAGCAAGTATGGCAGTGACGCTGAGTTATTGGTGGAAGAATTGTTACAGCAGGCTACATGCACAGCCACCATTCTTTTAGTCACCATTGCTACCAAGTTTAAAGATGGAAAGGTAACAACTGAACTTTACTGAAACAAATAGTAATTAAAACGATTTTATCATTAACATAATACAACTATTTTGTATAACTTATTTATTATGAATAACATCTTATTATTTAACAAATTAATAATCTAAATATAAAGAAGTGTTTTAGTCTCTTGGCCAATGCAGACTACATAGTTACAAGACAAATTTGATTCTCTATTGAAGTCATCTGTCCTCAACAATTAACATAAACTTGTCACTGAAAACTGACAATGATATAATGCTGGCAGTTGGCACAGGAGATCGGCATGGCAAACCCTTTTACACAAACTATTAGAGATATCATCTCTGAAAGGAAGAAGTGGCAGCAGACTAGGCACCCTGATGGTAAGAAATATTAAACCACCTTATATTCAAAGTAAAGAAGTTGCTACATGAAGAAAAAAATTAAAGTGTTGAAAATCATTTGATAAACTTAGATGCTACAACTGCTAGTGATTATTCCCTGTGGAAAGCTACAATAAAACTAAAGCAACCTAAAATTTATTGAGCGCCGATAAGAAATTCTGATAATTCATGGGTTAGAAATGATCTTGAGAAGACAAATACGTTTTCCGCTCACCTGAAAGAAGTTTTTAAGAACAATCCCTGCTATGTGCCCACTGATGTATTGAATTATATTTCCACAGCTCCAAGTGCCACTTATCAGCTTGATCCACCCTTAGCTAAATTCACCAAAACAAGTATGAAATGCCATAATAAAATTGGACCAACATAAGGCTCCCGGTTATGACCAGATAATGGTGATAATGATGAAAATTCTAAGGGAATTTCCTGAAGAAGGTATAAAAGTGTAGACACAGACCTACAATGCCATTCTCTGGAAAAATTATATCCCGCCTCAATGGCCAAAGTAGCCCAAATAATTATGATTCTTAAACCAGGGAAATGAGCAGAAGACCCAAATACTTATCGCCCCAAAAACTACTGCCAATTGCATCAAAACTGTTGGAGGTCCTCTTTTTGGGCAGATTAAACCCAATCATAAAGGAAGGTAAGCTGATCCCAAACCACCAGTTCGGCTTCAGACATGGACACGGTACAATCAAACAAATCCACAGACTTGTTGGTAATATGCACGGTTGTTTCGAAGAAAAGGAATACTGTTCCGCAGCATTCTTGGACATATCGCAAGCTTTTGATCAGGTCTGACATGACGGTCTCCTTTTCAAGATACGGGAGATGCTGCCTGTAACCTATTTTCAGTTATTGAAGTCTTATTTGGATGGACGTCGGTTCTTTGTTAGATGTGGTGATGTGTCTAACCACCAAGAGATGCTTGCTGGAGTTCTTCAGGGCAGTGACCTAGGCCCAACACTTTATCTTCTTTTCACTGCAGATCTACAAACTACTACCGGGGTAAAAGTAGGAACGATCGCTGACGATACCGCACTGCTAACTGTGAGCAACGATGCTAATACAGCCTCTAAATTACTCCAGGCAAGCGTTGGTCTAAAAAAATGGCGCATTAAGGTAAATGATGCGAAGTCTGTTCATGTTACTTATACTCTTCGGAAAGATACATAACTAATGAACAACTACACAAAGACTTAAACATCTCAACTGTAAAGCAGGAAATTAGAGTTAGAATGCCCAAATATAGGAACCGCTTGCAAAATCATGAAAATGAACTTGTAACAGAGCTATGGCCAAGAAATGTGTTTTCCAGATTGAAACGGAAGTCCCCTTTGGACTTGTGCATTGAAGTGGCCAAAAGATTTCATATCACAGAAAGAATAGTACATTAAACGACATTAAACTATTGCTTATTGTCCGATTGTGACAGATCGCAATACAAAGTATATATAAAAAAATCTAAATATAGAAATTACTCTTGACTGACTGACTGACATAATGATCTATCAATGTACAGCCCAAACCACAGAATGGATCGGTGTGAAATTTGGCATGCGAGTAGATGTTATGTCGTAGGCATCCGCTAAGAAAGGATTTTGATCAATTCTACCCCAAGGGGATAAATTAGTGGATGAAAGTGTTTATGGAATTTTCTCATTTCTGGACTTAAAATAAGACGATGCGGGCAAAGTTGCTGGCAAAAGCTAGTTACTATTTATTTCGTTTGCTTCTTTGGGCAGGAACCGGCCATACCATTTTTGAATTCTATTCTAGATTTGTTGTGATAGCTTTTATAGATTTATTTGAGTTTTCAATTGTTACAGGAAAAAAATATCAATATAGTTCAACTAAAAGATACATTTATTAGTCTTGCCACTGCTGGGTACATACAGCAGGCACCAGTTGCCGAGGTAAAGGAAGGCAGTGAGGTACCAACACTTGTACCAGTGGCGACTATTGTGCCAGATCTCGATGCGAGGGTGCTTATACAAGCAGTCAATACTGGAAATATAGCTGATATCAAAGATAGTGAGTTGGTTATTTATGGTAAAGCTTCATTATCTCAGATAGTACATCATTCTTATTATTGTGACGGTATTACTAATTGGGGTTCTACCGCAAATAAATGAGTCAAAGAAATTAAGTGTATAATTTATTCGCAACAGTAACTGAATCTTGCCGCTGCATATACAACACTGAGTGATGTTAGGTCTAAAATTATATGACCCCATATTAGCATCAATATATTAATGTACAACCACTTTTGAGTGGGGAAATTAATAAATTTATGATAATGTGGGGTCATCTGTAGTGCTTCAGTAGGCAAGGTTTTTACTCATGAATGGACTCAAAATATAAAGAAAAACATCATTCTATTAATGAATTTTTAATTTTATTCATTATAAATAAGAATGACAATTATTTTGTATGATATTACAATACTGTGAAACAATAATAATTATATTATAAATTCTGTCATGAATTAATAAATAGATAAAAACGTAACATAGTCGTAATGTGTCAACTATGTTTTATAAACTGTTTCCAGATGTTTACTGGAGAGTTAACTATGACAGATTCCACCAAGACTTCAGAGATGATCTCATGGTTAAAGCGGTCACACGGCGAGTTGATGATAATGGTAAGTTTTAGTGTAAAGATTAATAATTTAACTATATTTGATTGAATGTGCAAATTAATAAAAAATGTTGACTATTTTTCTTTAAATAACTTCATTCGTCACAAGAATATATTTCGACATACACATAACAATTTGTGTGACATAAGAAATGATGATAGCACAAATGGTTTACAAATAATAATTGAATAATTGATACCACTAATCAAAGTGCTCTATATTTAAAAAAAATATATATATTTTACCTGTATTTTGGTTAATTTCTATATTTGATGGAGCAATCACAGAAGAACACAACATAAGTAATTTATAATTATCTACTAGGTCAGAAATAAAGCAACTATAACAAAATTAAGAACTTCAAATAATTAGTAACATGTGCTGTAGATGGATAGACAGAAACTTGCATCCATTTTTCCTTTAGAGTAATCCTTAAAGCATGTTTTGTAAAAGTTCAAAATTTGTTATTAGCTAACCCTTCACCATGATAATATGTAATTCTTGGAGTGACACTACTATTATATTCTCCGATTAATCACTATAAATATGAGACGACACCATACACATTGCTCGACTCCCAAATGAAGTAGCTAAAGCCCTGATGTAGTTCAGACGTCACTCACCCATGAAGATCGTCTTATTAATGGACCATTTACATTACAGTAGCTGGGACAATCCAATTAGTCCAGTAAAATTAGAAACTGTTATATGTCAGTGTCAGTGCAAGACTTAGACGAGGCCAGTTCTGTCTTGGCTACTGGCGTCAGGTAAATAGTGTATAATGGAATGTTCCTGTAATTGATGCGTGTAGCGGGGGAGGTGATGCGGTTACTGCTGCAGCAGATGTATCTGTCATCACCGGCGTGGGCGGCTGACTCGAGTCCCGCGGCAGCGTTGGAGTTGCGAGACAGATGCGCCGACAAACCCATGCTGGCTCAACACCTCGACCACTATCTCAAAGTCATCGGTATGTACTTATGTTATTATGAATTGCTATTTATGTTATTTATTATTATTATATGGTTAATGGTTGGCTCTTGAAATTTCATTTTTAAGGGTCATTTATTATTCGTGTGGACTACTAATAACTTGGTTTTATTCGTAGAGGAGAGCGGGGCGGGGTTCGTACGTCGCACGGGGGAGATGTGCGGGGGACAGTGGGTGGTGAGAGCACGTCATGCGGCTTTACAACTCGTGCTCGCCGTCCTCGAACATATAGTCACTGAGCGACTCGGACACAAAGCCGCGCGCATATTCAGGTAAGTTAATTTACAGTTCGATCTTGTCGCCCTTAAACATATAGTCTCTGAGTGACTCGGACACAAGGCCACGCGCATATTCAGGCAAGTTCATTACTGCTCATTCTTGTCGCCCAGTTACCTCAAACCACATAGTCACCTCAATACGTTTTACATGGTGTATCGATCCTATTTTTCTTTGTAAGTTGGGGCTTCCGGTGTCCCATTAAAAGTTAAGCATAGAATTTGTCAGACTTAGGAGTAATTTTAGGTATATTAACAGACTAAAAAAATGGAGGTTCGTACTTTAACACGGTTTTGACGCGGTTTTCATAAAAGTATTTTTAGTGATACCTATTATATAAAAATATCAATATCCCTAAAAAACATTAAATAAAAACTTTATAAATAAATATAGAGCCAACTTCAAACCTAAAAAAAAAGTGAAAGATAATCTTTATACTTAGTTTTATGTTAATCTTTAGTTTTTTGGATCAATGTCATTTAATTCAATTTCTTATTCAGAATTGTTTACACTTTTTATTTGTGTTCTTTTTGGTCTTTCATTATTTTCGTACCAGCATGAGGATTCTGGGTGGTATTGATTCAATTTATTTTCTGTCTTACAGATTTTGCATGGTTTAATGTTAGCATATTTTATTTGTTCTGATTTTAATTACCTGTCTTCTTTTCTATATACTTTTTATTTACCAAATGTTCTAATCCTATTATATTATTAAATAAATCTTCTATATTTTTTAATTCATCTCTATTAATTTTCATTATTGTAAGTATGCACATGGATCTATTCAGCTCTAATAAAAATTTTTTTTTATGGCATATTCTATTAATGAACCCTGTCGATATTTATATAACATTGCATATCTAACTGGAGACTATCCTCTTGCCACACAAACTTCTATATTGGTTAATATAGAAGTTTGTGTGGAGACCCGGAATTTATTGTATGTTTTATAAGCATGGAGCTATACCAATCCAAAGACGAGCCTTCCAGAAATAATCTGAGAAGTTCAATTTTCCAATCCAATCTCGTACATTAAGATTCAAAAATACCTTTAGTTACCCATTGGGTAACTGTTAACGCTGTTTCAGAAAATCCTGCAGATGATGTCTCACGCTGTACTTCCTGCAATATTTTTTCAAAAAATTATCCTTCTAAATTGGATGTTTCCGTGATCATCTGTATAAACTTTACTTATTTCTGGTGTTTTTATTGTCTTTTTTGTAGTGTATTTTTACCATTTGAAAAGCTTTAGTTTTAATCTTCTTGATTGTTCTGAGATCAAGAAAATCTTATTAATCTCATCAGTAATTGAGGTTATGCAGATCATATTTGTTTTGGGACCTTCTCCCGATTTTTAAGACAAATTGAAACCTTAATTTTTATCCATTTTAGTATTTAACAGCTATAAAAATGTTGTTTTATGATGTGTTTCTTATTTAATTTATAAGATTTCTTGGAAATAAAACTTAATTGAGTTGCTCTGAAAGAGAATTGTTTATTGAGTAACAAACGTTTACAATATTTTATAAATTAATTAATAACCTACAGAAAAGCTCCGCCCTACTTTAATAGCATTTTCTTGAATAAGTCGCTTTAGAGATAAGTATTACGTTCCACTTTTTTTTCAGTTGAAGTCGTTTCTATTTTTAATCACACAATAGAAATGTTGATGCAACCATCAAACAAATATTGTTAGAACAAATGAATTTTTCAATAGTTTTCTAAGAAATGAACATTTAATATCTCGATAAGATAGGGATAGAAATATAGTCACTTATAATATCATAAGTAAACGAATACAACCGAAAGAGCAATCACTTTTAGGTAAGGTTACCACAAAACTTAAAAAGCATAACTCTTATTAGGTTATATTTTGTATTGAATTACAATGCCTTTTATTCGACCCCCATAGTTTTTAGTCTCTTCTTTACATTATTTAATTTAATGTCAATCATTTTGTAGATTGATAGAAGCGAAAAAATATATAGAAGAAGAGGACATTCAAAAGCACGCCATGTTACCAAACAAGGAATGCAAAGAGCTCACTTACAAGCTCCTGGAGGAACACTTTATTAGTTTACAGGTGCGTATAAAATAACTACTGAAGTAGAATTATACGTTTGGACTTTCCGCCAGCGGCTTAGCCCGCGTTGTACATATAAACTTCACCCTCTATATCACCCCCTAAGGGTTAAATTTCTAAAAACATTATCATACATCAACATAATTTGTTAGCACCGAGTAAGGATTTTTAGAAATAACACTACACCAGTGCACTGAAATTTAAAATTTCTAGATACATACAGTAGTTTCGGCTGTGCGTTGATATGTCAGTCGGTCAAGTTTGTCTTTTATATATTTAATATATAACTTACACTGTCTGTTTTCCCGCGACTTTGTCCGCGTAAATTTTAGCCATTGTCAATTATTTAGCTTTCTGTAGGTAATAAATATTTCAGGATCTGATCAGTATTTTTGAAGATTGGCTCCTCCAAAGATAAAAACTTAACCTCTTTATAATAATAGTATTTATAAGTCACATGCATATTGATATAAAAAAATCTGTCAAGACTTAATATATATAACGGTTACGGTTTTTTATGTAACGATTACGGATTATGTATGTAATATATGTTACGATTACGGTTTAGCTTCTTCGGTAGGTTGCATGAAAATTGATAGAAATACTCTTACTAGCAGACATAAACGAGCTTTAGAATTAAATGAAATGTAAAATAAACCTCCATCATTAAAAAGACTGAAAAATATGGAAAAAGAGTATTATTTACCACTTCAGTAATATATGCTATTTATCATCCAATTTCTGTATTGTTAATGGAATTCCACATAAACGACTGGGGATAGATACTACACATTTTCTTTGCGTACTCGAAGCATATATAATCATTCTGTATTCGATTACAAGTATATTACTATCTTATTTTTTAGTAATCGTTTATTACATATCAGTGGCGTAACGAGCTTTGGCGGGGCCCCGTATTAAAAATATTTGGGGGCCCTTATGAAAGGTAAAGATTTATCACAAAAGAAAAAAAAATGTTTGTAAATACGAATTTTAATCGTATGTATATCGATTATTGGCGGATTCCCCCGTTGAAGTAAATAATTTAAACTGAGAAATCCCGCAGCCCGCTAAAACTAATGTAGGGTGTTGTCAACTTAGAAACGCACACGCACGGGAAAAACAAATCGCTTTTTTTCTCAATTTGTTGTATCTGAAATAAAAAGAAATTTGAGAAGTATTTATTAATTTTTGCTTAAGCACGTCGGGGCCCCATATAATACGGCAGACAAAGCGATAGCTACGCCCCTGTTACATATTCACATCTTGCGATATAACAATTGATTCACTTATAACTTTTCAGCCAATGAGAAAAGCGGCTTCTGCAGGAACCATGGCAAAGGCGATTTATCTTTATCACATAAAATTACACGACGTAAGTTTCTTTTTATTGCATTTATTATAAGCCAGTCTCGTTTTCGATTCACAGTCATAAAACTAAAAAGTTATTGACATGCAGCATAAAAATTTACACTTTACGGTCAGTTGCACAAACGTCTATTAAGGTTTTATGCCTACTATAAGCACTAATGAATGCTATGAATTTGATAATTTGTATCGGTAATGGCGCTTTAAACTAATGACTATTATTAATTATCATTCCATTCGTGAAAACTGAACGAATGATCTGGTTCGATAATTTTGGAGTTCTTTATTTAAACAGACAGATATACAGCTTCGGTTAAAAATTTGGCAGACATTGTTTTATTATACGTTACCATTACTAAAGCTGATAAAAGCAAAGAACAACCTAAATCTTGTTGCAGAATAATTATTTTGTAATTTACAAAATACAATACTTATGATTTTGTTAGTTTAGGAACGCCATTTCAGGTCTCCTTTTCGGCATTTGAGTTTCAAGATCATAAAGGTCGATGTAAACAAATATACAACAGCTTTGATTCGTTATCAAAAATGAGTGTTCCACAGGGCTTAATCCTCGGTCCAAACTTATTTTTAATTCTTTTAATGTCCTGCTTATAATTAAGTTAAAGTGAAGCGTTATTGTTTTATTAGCGTTCACTGTCAAGAAATGGATGTTTGTGATTTCCGCGTAGGTTCCGGTTTCCTGTATACTGCGTTGCTATGGTAATACACTACGTATCATCCCCGCACCTCGATTGAGCCTCAAAAATTGAAAATTATATTTTCTATAATGTGTTGGGTCGTGGTGGTACCTTCGTTGTCTCAAATAATACGAGGGCTTTAGCTATTCATCTTTGAATCTGAGTAGTATATGTGATATTGTCTAATATTTACATTAATTGTTGAAAAGCAAACTTACGTGCACACACATTAGAGCTATCAAAAATTGGTTGAGGACAAAATTAAACTGATATAGGTGGCGGAGAGTGCAACGGAGATGTGTTACCGCGCATTACACAACGTGATGAAGCGCGCTCACCACGAGCGGGCTGCGCACGCGCGGCTGCTCGACAAGCAACGCCGCGTGCGTAGCATAGTGCACCAGATGACCCTGCGCGGAGAGCCGCGACAGAACATCGACGACGTAAATATATACACATACATATATATATCTCGTCTGCCCCCTATCCCATAAAAAAAACATACATGCATTTGTAACGGTTATACAGTCACCAGCATAGTAATGACCCATTGCCAGTGCTCAGGCCTTTTCCGTGGACGGAATCGAAGCGAATATGCAGAATGGGCCATGACCCACCATGCGGGCTAAGTGCGGATTGGTGGGTATGAAATGGCTTAACGTGCCTTAAATAAGATCAAAAAATGTTTGGTCACTCATTCTATGACCAGCCATTGTGCAAGTTAACAACCGTATCGCAGACCGAGCACGATAGCCACTGCACCGTCGAGATCGGCGATAGTGTACATTCTTAATTAGTTTGTTTTGTTGCTGAAAATCAGATGCATTTTTCATTTTTTAGGGTTCATACATCAAATGAGAAAAACGAAGCCCTTATCGTTTTGTTGCCCGTCTCTCTGTCTATCAAGCTTTCATCATCTTTAGCTCGTTTTAGGTACCCACTGCAGGGCCGAGGCCCTGGGTTAAAGAGCATGGGTCATAACCGTCCACGCTGGCCCAATACTGATAAACGACTGTGAATGTAGCCGGCACCAACGGCTATGGTATATAATATGCCTTTCGAAGCACGGAGTAGCTGGAGATAATAATTTTTGATCACCAATCCCATGAAAGACCCTTGTGAATGAGCCGCAACGATCGAGGGCAACAGATTATTCACTGCGATACCGAATTTACTCTTCTGTCAAGTCTGACAGCCAGTTGCACAAACGTCCATTAAAATTTTAGTGACATTACCCATACAAATTTGACGTTCATTAGAGATTTAAAGCGTCATTAAACCTTAATGAACGTTTATGCAACTGGCTGTAAATCTATTATTCATAAATAAAAATAATGTGGCGTAACAACAATCATTCTAATGTATACTATTTAACAGAATTATTTTTTGTTGCTGGGTCTCATTGCTTTATAATATTTTTCCAGGTGGAAGACACTCTGACCCCTCCAGAAGTAGCCGTACTCCAGAGTATTGAGAAGCGTCTGAAACAGTTGAACACAGCGGAGCTGGAATTGGATAGGAATCTTTTTATATTCAAATGGTACTTCATGTATCCACAGTGATATTCGTATTTAATTGTTAAGTTTGTAATAAATTATATAATTTTAAGATGATATATTTTATTTACTAGATAATAATATTATGACATATTGAATTTTTGATATCTAGTAAAATCATACAAATTATCTACATACAGTGGTAGCCATATAATTAAGGACGTTTTGTAGTTATAGAATGTTTTAAATGAAACTTGCCCTATTTTTTTAATCGGAGCCGGTTAGTTGAGATATATAGTTTTTTTGTAAAATTAAATTTATTGTGGACAGTGTTATAATATATGATAATGAAGCTGGACAAATAATTAAAAACGATATTCTAAAGCTGTTGGTATAATGTATATATAAAATAAAATACGGAGTAATTGTATTGTTATAATATAAAAATGTACTTTAAAAAAGATGTTAAACATATTTTAAACTAAAATTAATATTTGGTCGCACACGACTCGTAATTACTGCTTTACACCGACTCTAAAATTTTTTGACATTTTGCATAAGAAATAGAATTCCATTCTTCCGAGAAAACCTCGTCCACACAGTCGGTTTGCTACCTTTTCTTTAATTTCACACCAAACATGTTCTATTGGGCTTAAATGGCTGTTGGCTGACCTGTCTAAGATGGAAACGGATTGAGAGTGAAGAACGGGCTGTATGTTGGAAGAATGGAAGAATCTTTTCAGCATAGGGTAACATTGTTTCTTCCAATATATTTTTGTATTGAACTTAATCCGTGTTTCATTCTATAAGCCTAATAGGTCCAATTCCATAAGAGCACACTCTATTTTAGATTAGTCAGAAAAAAGTACATTTGACCACTGTTTAACTGTCTAGGTTTCATACTTTTTTGCAGAAGCGAGCCGAACTCGCTTATGGCATTGTTTTAGCATAGGTACCTTTCTTGCTATTCTGCCGTACAACTTTTTTTCTACTAAACGCCTTCGAATATTGCGTGCCGAGATCGCAGACGTGGCAGTCGTGGCATGAGCGGAATATTTAAAGAACTGTTTTAAGTTTAAAAATGTTTCACAGCATTGAAGATCATGGTTTTCGATCATTGCTATAAGACCAATTCTCCCAAAGCTTTAATATAATGTCTTGCAACTTTTTACCCATTATATAATAATTTTTACCCATTATTATTTTGTAAAATTATAAATGGCGCCAGTTTTATGAAAAAATAGTATAATCATAGAGTGTTATTTGTTTGAATTTGAATAAAAATAGAAATAGTTTGCGTTCTCAATTAAATGACCAGCCAGTAAGAAGTAATTTCTGGAATACATTTTACGTTTGCGTAATTTATACTTTTTTTCGTGGTTTATTAAATCTAATTTATAAAAGAAATTACATACTAACAATGTAGAAAGATTTTGGAGGACTATTGTGGATAGTGAAGAATAATAAATACAACGACCTATGTTTTCTTAAGTTGTTTAACAAAACGAAATACCCTAAATTCTTAACTGGGTCCGCGTGAAGGTGCCAAAGGTAATGCTTAATATATATATTCTATGCAGTATCCAAAAAACTTGACCATCCATCCAAATACTTGCCTTTGCGATCGTCACTTAACATTCGAAGCGAATAGGCGCTCATGGAACATCGAATCGCATCGCATCCAGCTTTAGGGGTAGGATTTTGCAAAATTTCGTTTTAGATAGCATCTACGTCTATAAAAACAATCCAAACAAAAAAAAAATACAAACTTTTATCCCTTAATTTACCACATTAGGGATTTGAATTTCATATTGAAACGTCCACATCACGAATTTCGTACGGTATGGCAATGAACAAAAGCAAGGAAAATGAATTTCGCGTCGTAGATGTTTTACTGTGAGCACAACGAGTTGTGAGCTATTTTTTCGCTCAATGAGCCGTTGCGGTCTTTGAGCGTAACATATTTAATTAAATCAATTGCTGTTAATTTGTATCCCTAAAACTCGAGAACTTTTGGCACTCTACATCTCGAGAAGCAGATTTTGGTTTTGATATGTTTGTCGTGGTCCAGGGAAGGCTTAATTAAACGATGAGAGATGATATTAAGGTTCACCGGGACGTCTATTCTAAAATAAATTAAAATAAAATGATGGGGCGACTGAATATGTTCGATGTACAATGGCGATTGAACATCTCCCCCTTACTCGCGAACGCATTCACGACCTATCGACATTACAATTGTGCCGTTTCGTGCTCTTGATTGGGTACACTAGCGCCAGAGTATGCTACCACCAATCGGTCGGTCGCGATTGCGTTCGAAACTGGGGCGATTAAACATTAGCTCGACGTACGATAGAGCGTTTGAACAACAGTTCGACGTACCATGGAGCGATTGAACATCAGTTCCACATGCGATGGTGTAACAGAACGATACAACTCACGCTTGGCGCGCAAATATAAATAATCATCTAAAGAAGAAGAGTATTTGAAGTCATCTAAAGAGAAACTGTATCTACAGCTAAATACGTTTTGTTAATGTTATCAATGAATATGTTTATATTCTTTTATAAGGAGATGTTTATTTTTTCAATATAATTTAGTATAGTACAACAACCAAGAGCATTAATTAAATATAAAAATAATATAACGAGAACATTATAAAGTAATATAAACATGGATGGCTAGAGCTATAACGAGATAGTCAGGAGGTCGCCGTCTTCGTGTTCTGTTGACTCTGCTTTCAAGGGGATTGGTTATTGTTATTTATACTATGTGTAGTATATATATTTTTTATAATATCCTGTAAAATTACAGTGGGATTATAAATGAAAACCAAAAATTATGTTCTTAAAATTTTATTTGACCCCATCGAAACTCAATACTCATTCAAACAATGTACAACCTATGTATGAATCGATATTTGTAATGATTGCTTACAAAGCATATACCGAATAGCGACAGCATCAGCAGTTAGAGAACACTTATAAATAATTAAAAACAACTTTCATGGTACATTTTCTACTTGACTTGTGAAATACCTGCATAAAGATATTTGCTGTTGAATTTTCATGTTTTTTTATTTAATTTTATCTTATTTTTATTCTATAAAAAAAACGAAAATTATATAAAATAAATGATAGATTTACTAATTATGAACAAATAAAAAGAATGAAAAAGATTATTATACAAATTAAATAAGGAACATTTAATTTTTTTTAACCGGATTTTTTTCAAGTATTTAATATGATAATTTCTATTTGCAATAAATTTTCGTATAACAATAAAAACAAAATAAACAATAATGCAAAAATATTACTATAAAATATAAAAATAATAAGACGTCTTTGCAATTGTTAGAACAGATTGAAACACTAGAAATATGAAAAGATGTCATATATGTATATTAAAAATTTATTATCGCATCCGAATAATCGTGCAATCCAAACTAATCAGTATCTTAGATGTATAGAGAATTTAAAATGCAACTTATTGCCAGCTAAATCATCGCAGTATTTATTTTTATACAAGGTTAATAGTATTTTATTGTACCGGTTTTAACATGTCACCATCGTTGCCGACGACTCCGCTTCTTCCATACAACGTAGAAAACTTATTTTGATACCTGGCACCCTAATTAAATGGTACTAGTCAGACCACTATACGATACAGCGTGAAATAAAAATGTTCATGTCGTATATCCGTTTTGTAAGCAATCAGTAATTAATATGATAGATGACCGACATAGGAATTGTATATCACCTAAAATACTTAACTAATTACGATAACTAAACCGCACTAGGAGTTGAAATCAAACAAAGATCCGCCAAAATGCCTTATTCACAAACTGCGACTTCGAATTGTATGTTTTGTTTCTGTCAATTTCCTGAAGAGTGACAGTGACGCTTCATATAATTTTACCGCTTCCCAGATTGTGTATAAAGCTAATATCTATCAAGGACCAACTAAATGATAATTAATCAACATTGTTATAATTATTAATTAATATTAACAAGTATATAGTTTATGTAGGTAAGTAGTAAACACCTGTTATACAGTGACACCTAATAATATTATTTTTATTTATTTAAATTACACAAAACGACCGCTGCCTGTATTACAGTGGATATTACAAATATTATCAGACAATAATGTTATCTGTATCCGTCAATATAAATTATTTAAAGTGCCTAGTAAATTATGTAAATAAAAAATATTAATCCTTCAATAAACAACCTAAAAAACATTTTTAACTCTACATTAATTAAATATTAATAATTCGTAGGGATCAAATCAAAAAACGCAATAAACAAGCAACGGTCGTAGATATTAATTTCAAGCTAAAATTAAAACTATTTATTTTCGTCTAAATTAAAAAGAGGAGATGATTATTTACATTTCGGTAGTGTTCACTCTTGACGTTATGCAGCTAACGTTGTTTGAAACAACCAATAACTGAGAATCCGACAATGTAAATAACATTAAATATTTAATGAATGGATAAAAACTAATTCGAACACCCAATTGACGTCAAATCTCTTGAATTGTTGCATATTTAGTATGTTTGTTACACATTTAGTTATTTTGGGTGCACAATTAGTAGTAACTTAATTAGTTATTAAGCAAAACGGTTATCAATTTTTCTCACACCAGTAGAATCTAGATCATCAGTCATCACTTAGTACCCAACAGTTCTAATTTCAATCTTAAAATTCTCATTCAATTAGTTACATATAACAGTAAAAAAAAACTTTATATTTATTCGAACAACGTTAGCCACTTAACGATTCATCAGCGCAGAACAAACACTTAAAACAATTCTCGTTCGATAAATTCAGAGTCTCTATACTATTTAAATATATTAGAATACAATTAATTAAAACATCGATCTAAGTGGCCTACATCATCTTATCGCGAGCAAACCGACCTACCTATACTCAGACTATACGTACTTGAGAAGTTTACAAAAAGCCGCTATTCTTTATCGATTATTAAACTTTTATAATTACGAATCAAAATCATACCTCCCAAGCGACATGATAATATTTACACCACCTCGTACACGTTTGACGAACTTCACTTTTTGTTAGTAAAAAAAGCAATGAAATTTAGGAGCACACCTCTAGCGTAGTATTGGACAATAATTTTCACACGTGAAATTTGACAAACGATGTTCAAAGTAACTAAAACTGCTATTGAAAAAAGGGCTAGAAACCAGAAGCGAAACTCAAATAAAACATGAAAAATAAATTTGCAATTACTTTATTTATAAACTAGTTATTTTACACAACTTAACAAAATACACATACAGCAAAATGAAACTGAACAGAGCAATCAAAAAAAATTTTTCAACCATACATAGGGCATTTAACAATACTCCGTTGAGAAATGTTGAATTTCACATAATCCAATATCTTAATTGTCGCCCTTATATTAGGGACATAACACTCAACGATTGCATTGCAAAGTGAAACTATTACAGTCCAACACAATTAATATAAATCACAGATGTAACTGGGCAAACTAACTTTCCAAGCGCGGCAAATGAAAGTGAATCAGAATGATTCAAGGAACGCGTCATACTGCAATCGGCTCGATTCACCTCCAAAGAGTAGGTAACGGAAACTTTCACGATACCATATTGTTATTAAAACAAAACTGAAGTTATATTTGTAAACTGTGCAAACATATTAACGACACATCATATTAATTGTGTTTCACTGTACATCAAACACTAATATTTATGTGTTTTAACCATGCGTTGTACGTACATTATAACGTGGCAAGATTCATCTAAGTCAGTTTATGCTGAATAAATGCGTACAATATGCCCCCAGACCCAAACTAATTACAGTTTCCTTCTAATACTGTTAAAAATAATGCCTGAACTCCATTAAGCGTTCGATTACATTACACCAAACACTTATAGGTATACTACTAGACAAACTTTAAAATAACTCAAATTGCGGCATTTTCCAGCTTGGCGATACTTTTAAAATCTGTATGGCCTAACATGCTTATATAGTTTGTCTAATGAAAATTGAAGCGATGATTTTTTACTCTAGCGCCATTTTCTAAAGAAGCTACTGCCACAGTTGATGTTCTCAACCTGATTGATTTTGATACTTCTTTTTTATATTCGTTCAATCTGGCGAAGTCTGTATTATGTAATTAATTATTTGTGGCCTTTGTCCAGCAATGGGCGTTATCCGGCTGAGATGATGATGATGAATCTTTTCCATAATTGGTATATTGAATTTCATTAAACTAAAAAAAACAATCAAGTATCAAAAACGTTTTTCATCGTACATATACGACGATATACGACGAACAACGTTCAAATTTCATTAGACAGTCTCTATGTTCTAAATATTGTTTTGTTGGTAATAGGCAAAAAAAAAATACAGATGTTATTATAAATATCTTGAAATTTCATAAATAACATGCACATGTATATAATAAAGGTTGAATTCCATGCAATACAATATTGCCCTTTTCTGTCACATCATTTGCTAGAGCGAGAAAAATAGTTTGTTTACTATCTCCTAGCTAGAAGATGCACGTGCACACTAGTTCGGTCTAGTGAGTTAGGATTGTAGCACAGAGGTTATCTGTGGATTGTAAACGACAGAAAACAATAGCGACGTGGTGCCGTGCTGCTACATGTAGTTCAACCCTCAAACGTTTCATCGGTAATATTAATAATTACAGTGTTAGTTTGTCTATCACCACTGTTTCAGTGACATCGCCTGTCTAGTAGCACATATAAACAGATGTCCTTGCATTAATCATTACAATGTTTTCGTTTAATAATTTCATTTGTACTATCACAAAAATATTTGCATCATTTATTTTGTCTATTACATCACAAAGGTGTGGGGAAAGTAATCTATAATGTAATTAGTGTTTTGTAGGATGCTTTTAATTTTAAACTTACAACAAAAATTAAGGCTAAGCCGATATTCTTTAGATAATTAACCAATTTTTTAAACAAAAAAATATATTGTATATATAATGTTTTATAGCTACATTCAAAAAATGCCAATTAAAGAAATAAAAATACTTTGCTAGATGTGATGACGTCTATATAGCTGATATAAAAAAGCTTTTTTTTTCCTGTTATCTACAAAGCGTTCGGAATCTGGTAACAAATATATAAAAAAAGCATCTTTTAAAATCTTTGTAAAATATAATGAAAATGGCATAACAAATTACTCTGCCCGTGTAAACAATAATAATAATGAGTCGTACCTACAAATTACAAGGGCGTAAAGTAAATTTCATAATTATATAATAATTTTAAACTAAAATTTACTATTCATAATAAAGAGTTTATAGTTCTGACAGTCGCCATGTTTATTGATATAGTAATTATGCATAAACCACATGTTTATTATGTATAGAATCAACGCGACGTATCCTTCGAAGTTTACAGCTAACACTAGCGCATTAAATAGCAATTTTTTTTTAGTAATAAAAAAAGATCCAATTTATTGCAAGAACTTATCACAAATTAATAGTCGAAGACTCCTTAATGGATTATAAAATTTTACTATTTACAGCAAATGAGAGTTAATTTATACATTCCGTTCGTTTCACTACATAATTTGTCATTTAAATTTTATAAATAGTAACGTTATATAAATTCATGTTGATGGCCTAAAATTATAATTCTAAAGATTTTGTTGTTTTTTTTTTCGTGTCGGACGGTCAGGATTGTAGCAGCCCTGACCGTGACCGCATCGGAGCAATTCCAATAACGTTCACGCCCCTCCGCCTAGAATACTTATACTTTTGATAAAACTTACATACCGAATACTCTACTAATTTTAATAATAATATTTCGGCAGCATGATTCCTATACGAGATAATAATTTACGCGGTGAGAATAATATACAAGATCGCTCATAATAAAGCTACTCCAGATTTTTTAATTTATACCATGAAATCAAACAGTGTCGATTTAAATTTTGAATCGTTTCTCGTGATGTTCTCAAAATTCGAATGTGTGCGTTTTGTTATTTTTCTTGTAATTGGGTGATTCATATTTCGAATGTTTCATTCGTGTTGTCGATCCGAGTTGGTTTGGTTTTTGTTACATCACGAGCGCGCTAGGGCGAGCGCACTCGTGCACCACTGAACACATAAGTCCCGAATAGCCCCGATCAGCTGTCAACCGCCGCGCCCGCCGTCCGTCTCTCTCTACCTATTACAATATGCAGCAGGATGCCGAACAGCAACTGCTCGAACCGCCCTTACTCTTTTGCCGCTGATCTGGAAAAGTAGAAATGAAAAGGTTAACATAAAATATACCGATATCAACAATCAATTTTTATGAATGCTAACGCATTCATTAGGTCATTTCTATTTGCATAAATTATTAAGGCATATTATTACATGGTATGTTTTTATTTGTCCTTATTATATTTACGCATTACAGCATTCACATATTTCAGGTATATTTCTCTATTTATAATTAATGTTATGCATCTTAAAGTATTTACATACTTGTATATGGCGCTCGCCGGCCGCTCCATCAGCACGCTTGCTTCACTCGCTCAGCAGTGTTAACTTAAACTTATCTTTTAATCGTTCTTTCATGTATAATGCGAATTAATGTCATGCAAAAAATAGCCTGATAATGAGCATACACATATTCTTAGGGCTAATTAATTTCTCAAATCATAATAAATATTTAAGCATTCTATGGAATTTACTTGTATATGACGTTCGCCGGTCGCTGCGTGCGACACGCTCGCTTCGCTCGCTCAGCAGTTCTAAACTAACCTAACCGATTAATCGGATCTTTTATGTAATAGCCTAAAAATAAATATCGCGATATAAACTGTGGCTAATGAAAGTTGAAGCGATATTAAGGATATGTTTATTCTTAAAGTACTTTGGCATATCCCACATGCATACCCATTTTATATTAACAATGAAGATATACTTTGATTAGAGATCTCTTCTATTGTAACATTAAACAAAAGAAGAGATCCCTATTAAAAGTATATCTTTAGATAGAATTCTGTGAAATTGAACCTCACAAAAGTACATATGTACACATTCATAAAAATCACGATCAGTTTATCTTTAAAAAAATATTAGAAATTCGAATAAACTATCTGCAAGAATCTACTAAGAATTTAAAATGACTTACAAATCAGTAAATGGAGGAACAAGGATAGGATAGGATTAGGTTGCTTGTATTTCAAACCCACCGGACTTCTGCAAATAAATATTTTTGATACTAAGGATGATTTTCAAACGCAACAATTAGACGCGGCATTAGTTCGCCTGTTACTAGTATAAATTCGGTCACCCATTCTATTACAGGCCCTTGCAAAAGTTGCTTCCCCATCGGAGACCGAACGCTCTAACCACTGCGCCATCGAGCTCGATATTATAACTATAATACAAATTCAATATAGCTGTATATTGAAGTGTAAATCGTGTATTGGTATTGGCAGCTAGTAAAGAATATTTTATTTCATTATTAATATTAAATAAAGCTCGATTGGTTCAGTCTTACCGTGTGAGTTCGGCTCGGGCAGGTGTTCGCGTGGCACTAAGTGCATTACGGTGGTGCGCCCCAGGGGCAGCCCGAGCGCCCCGAGTGTCACCGAGCTGTGCAGGAACCGGCCCTGGTATATCAGACGCAGGATCTCCGCGCGCGACACGCATTCCGATGTCCAATCGGCTGAAACACGAAAATATAAAGAGTGAAGTCGATTAAAATTTAGCAGATACGGAAAATATACGTTTATCGGCTAAGCAGGAATTATAAAACAGGTATGAATAGAATATTGAAAAAATATTCTTTCGCATCTTAGACGATGCATTAATAATTTGATTTGTAGCACTTGGTACTCTCTGCCCCACAAGGGATTCGGTTATTTGCTATAGTATAATATCAATATATCGCATAATTAATGTAAAATTTATCAAATAAAACAATTCTATGCTATTTACTTCTATAACGTTTGACACTATCTACAAACAGACCAACACTCCAACTTGACACTAATCTATTATACCATGTCACTAATTAAAAATAGATCCAAATAAAAATAAAAATATTTCGTTCACACTATTTACGTAGAAAAACAATAAGTTGGGAGTGTTAGACATACGTATGGCAAAGTGACATTTATAAATTTTTGCCATTGGTGATAAAAATAATCACATTAGGAAACAAAACCTAAGCGAACCGGTCTAGTTTCACACGGAGTGTAAATCGTCCTCGACATATTTCCTATTCTATAGTTAAATACTCATCGAAATCAATTGCGTAGCGCCAAAAGCGTATAGCGAATTTAATTTCGATATACAATGTAGTAAATATAGTGTAATAAAAAATAAAAATCATTAATTTTCTTAATAAGAGGTCGATAGCTATAGTTTTATTAAACATAATAATGACATAATAACATCAATTATGCATTTGGGATATTATGATGTTTCATTACAAACTTTTTGTTGATGTTTGTAAAATTCGTGCTAACTAGAATATATAAATTCAAATATAAACATGTTATGTGATGACATTTTTAATGTAAAGAAAAACGGTAAATAAAAAACGTGAAGATACTGAAATGCCCCCAGAGAGATTTGAACTCTCGACCCCTGGTTTACAAGACCAGTGCTCTAACCCCTGAGCTATGGAGGCTTACAATAGTCTCGCCGTAATTGTACATTAGTATCGACTGCTGACGCACACATGCATAAAATACAATTCACAGTAGAAATAGCATACCAAACTAAGTCGTTTTTATAGCCATATCTAGATGGCGCTACGCGGTATCTTAAGTAAATTGCATTACAAGATAATCAATTAGATACCTCTATAGGATCTAAGTAATAGAAGAAAATTTAAAGTTTTATTGAGAGTATGAGTTATATTCTCGTAAAATTTAAGAACCTCAGCTCTATGTTTCTGCTATTTAGCGGATTTCCGTAACTATCATAAAATAACATGAGTTAAGTATGCGAAAACATCGCGTGTTACATAAACATCTTTTATCTAGTCTTGTTTAGTAAAATTACACCTTATTATCTAAGCACGTAGTATTTTTATAGAGAAATATGTAAGTTGTTATGTGCGCTAAGTAAACCACCGCGCGCCCGCCAGATGGCAGAACTGTACGTAAATTTATCATTACAGATTTTCAGAAAGCATTTCTTACACGAGTAGAGCAGATTTAAAACATTCTTATTAAACTTTAATACCTAAAAATTTTCAATTGAAAAAAGAAGCTGTTTCAGTACATTTAAAAAGAACACTATAAAATGGGCCATGAAAATGTCATTCGTGTCGGGTAGGTACATAATATGCTTTGATGGATAATTAGACCTTGTTTGGAATTTAATTGATAAATTAATACATTTATCAATTAAATTTCGTAATTACAATATATTGTGCGAAATCTAGTATCAAAAGTGATTAGTCTCGAGCTGTCAAACTTGGGCACAATAAAGGGCGTGTGTGTAACAGAGGTAAGGTATGTATATGTACACGTATAATTATGGGAATGGAATGTACACTATTGACTAGGTCAAAGAAAGCAAAAAGTCCAATTAAAAATTAAAAAAAAAAGCTTAGATAAAATACGTAGAAAAACAGTCGCGTTCGAGGTAAGATAATTAAAAGCTCAAAAGACTGACATAAAAACAAGTAAATCCCCAATCGCGTTTGTATTATTTTCATTTAACGGAAAGAAATAAGAACGCCATTAAACTTTGATAAAATACACGCAAAAACTGTCGCACTTGCATTAATTTTGTTTGACGGAAAATAATAAAACTATTACACGCAGAAACTATCGCATATGCATTAATTTTCAGTAAGCTATATTTTTGTACATGCTTAAATACGTCACACGCAAGTGTGATGACACTCTTTGATTCAGTTTGTGTTGTTTTCGTCCGAATCAAATGTCACAAATTTTATGAGAGTTACATTTAAATACACAAGTGAAAGTACAAACTTTCATGACTACACAAGTAGTCGTGAAATTTTCTACAAAAAACAATACGTAATTAGGTACCTACCTACTTTTTGGAGACAACCTTTGACCTTTGAAAAATAATAATATGCCGGAACTTGTTTTTATATAGAATTTGTAATAGCGTATTTTGTATAAAATCTATCCAAAAAAGTGTAGCAATATTTAGATTTTTATTTAAAATATTTTACTACACTTGGTAATGGAAAAATCTTAATAATGTGTTTATAAACTTGTTTAAAATAAAAAAAAATCTTAATCGAGACAGTTGTGGCTGAATGTAAAAGAAGAATATGCCATTAGCATACGGGTTATTAACCGCAAAGTCAACCTGAATTTACTGTAGTCACTGCAAAGGGTTAAAGAAAAAAGTACGCAGAGTGAAGCTTGTTGAAGACAGCGCCTACTATTAACATAACCCTTTAATCCCGCTTGAATATAACGAGAATAATATTCTCATTTCTGTGCAAATAAAACGCGACGCATCGTCATACAAAAGTCTACAGAGCACGTACTACGGTAAACCAGGGGACTATTCCGTAATATAATGCTGATCGTTTATTCTTTTTTTGATTGCAGGAAAAGTATTGTATTTTTTTTTAAATCGAACGATAGGTATCGTTAGTAATATGTATGATGAACTAAAATAATAAAAAAACCTTACATTCGATATCGCCATGATATCGTATTTTGTCCCCTGGTTTAAGTTAATGCCGCATAAAAAGTACCGCTCTTTTTGGAAGGTCTATAAAAACAGACTAAAATCATATAACTGCAGAATTGCAAACGTACCTATTTCAAATGATTTTTAGTACTTGAACTTTCAGAAACAGTGGGCATTCGATATCGACACAACACTAAACATTTAAAAATCGAACACAAAGTATTGTAGCATATGCATTGTGTAACTATTATAAGGTTTTTTTAAATTAGCATTGGCAATAATACAGTTTTATTTCGTCCTCGGAGAAGTTCCCTCGGCGTACAACGGGGTACGTGCAATTCGGTGTCGAGTCGAGATATCCCGTTTTCAAGGGAATATCATTACGTATTCCTGGTGTCTATTATTTCGTGAGAAAGTTTTTGCGACGCTTTTCGTGCACTTACGACTATTAGAATATTTTTTCCTTACTTATTTATTCACTATATAAACACGACCGCTGTCGAAAAAATATATGAAAAAAATCTAATATTTTTTTCTTAGACTGCTGCGTACAGTAATCATTCAATAAAACAACTTCAAACGTGTAACATTTTGGGATGATTTTCGACAATTATCCTATATCGCTATTAGGATCTCAATGAGATCGATTTAGCGGTTTGAATGTGAAAGACAGACAGGAATTTGTAAATATTAGCAGGGACATGTATGTCGCTATAATTAACAAGAAACAAGTTCTTATAATTAACAAATAAAAAATGACTATGAAACTAACAAAATGTATGCAATTATAACGGTATTCAACATTCATTTGTAACTTTGTCATAATTTAGTCATAGCATTCACTCCTGTACCAATATTATTTTTGGCTAAACTGCCAAAGATAATACAGTATTATCTTTCGTTAACCAGCTACTTTACAATGTGCACGTACGTTTACAGATTCGCTTAGATTATTTCATAGTGTATTCCATATTTTGTGATTTAATGTTATGGAACTATTCTGACTTACTTAATTTATTATTTTATAACAACCTCGTACAAAAAACACTTCATAAACAGTTTGTCTCTAAACTTGTGACGTCACTGCCCTAGCCAGCTCATTAATTTCCCTAGCCTTTCAGTTTCATATCCCATTGGTATTTCCCGCCCCGCGTTTTGCAAAAAAAAAAAACCCAACGGCACAGGCAGCGGTCGTAACTCCCGTACTCATAATTCGATTTCCATGGGTGTTATGGCAGCTGCGCCCCATCGGCCACCCTCGAATCATAACGAATATTTATAGTTGTTACGCAGGCACGTAAATAAAGATAGACTATTCGTTTTAATAGTTTGTGATATTTCTAATTTTCGGAGGAAACTTTCGTTAGACTTCAAAAGAAATAGAAATGTTGAGAATATAGATATGTAACGGACGTACTATTTAAAAATATAATATTTTTGCACCAATATAAAATTAAACGACGATGAAACAAATTTGACGAGCTCCGTAGCCGGGTGGTTTTGGCGTGCCGGTTTTAAGGTGACGCCAGTACTGAGGTCCCGAACTCGATTCCCGGTCGGGTCAATGAAGAAACTAGACTTTTTTATATTTTCTCAGGTCTGGGTCGTGGTACCTTCGTTGTCTCGGATACTTCATGATACAGGTGCTGTAGCTACTCATCTCGGAATCCGATAAATGTGTGTGACTTTTTATTTATATATTATTTATTAAAAACAAAAGCTTAAAAGTACACATCGGTATCATTCGCTTCCGCTAAATCCCTTATAGAATTCACTAAAGCAGAGAATGGCAACCACAAAAGACAAAGTAGAGAATGTTTTTATAAGAAAATAAAGAAATGCGCATAAGCATTACTTCGACAACCCACACCTCACTATAATTTATTTCTTATCATTATAGAAAACATAAAAAAAAACAATTCACATTCGCATTGGCCTAAATTCACATGTTTTTCAATATTCGCTTTCGCGACGTTTGTGGGAATATCAGCATTAGAAAATTTATAAATCCATTACTTTAATATCACAAAAATCACAGATACAAAAAATATATAATGCCATATAAAGAAACAAAAAAAAAAGCTTCTCCGAAACTTTTATCAGCTCTTGCGTAAGTTTTTAATGTTAGATCATCATCGTCTGGTACGAAACTGTCGCCAAAAAAAAAAATGAACATTTGCATTCGCAATTCGCAAATGTTGGTAGTAAGTAGATCGTATTCGCATCCGCGACTAAAAAAATCGTTACATCACTTTAAATTATATATATGGACTTTGGCGATGTTGTTTATTCGTAATCTTTTAGAATCATATTCAGAGGTAAGCCGAGACTCTTTTATTAAGAAGGCAGAATGCATAACTTCTCGTGCGCGAGCTTAGTAACGTAGATTATTATTCGTATGGAACATATATATAATAAATTTGACATCTATGTTTCGTAACATTATATCCATTTTACGTAATCCAAAAAGATGAAATAAGAAATCTACAAAATCAAAAGTAACAGACACATAAACATATATTTTAAAATTCATACACATTAAAACATATATACACATTGAAAATTCATACACATTAGGCTTCGATGGAATGAACATGTTTTCATAGTCAAAATATAAATCAAACACAGCAAACATACAAAAAATTGCAAAAAATCATAGGTTAAGTAATAGCGCATGCGCGGATAATGTGTATTCCAGGATATAGTGACTGAGTATTTGCTTTGCATGTATGATATTGATAAATCTTATTGGAGAAATTTCTATTCACAGGTGAGCGTCGAAATCCGTTAAAAGCAGGAAATGACAGAGGCAGGGAGAATTTTATAAAAGTTTGCAAAGTAACAATGTCCTTGCAGGTCACATATTGAGAGCTAATATATAATACAAAAAAAACATATCTCGGCATTCAAGCTAAAAGGGCGTATACGCAAAACTGAGATTTCAAATACGCCTTATTTTATGAATTAACAAAACATTTTTTTAAATAATTGGCAAATTACTTAAAAAGGCATTTTTTCCACATATTAATGATAGTTAGGTTTATGACTCCTGAAAATTAACAGTACTGCTTATACGACCCTATGGCTTGAGGCCCACGATATGAACCAACATGGAGCAATTAGATATAACAACTGTGATTCGTATTTTGAAGTATTGGAATTCCTTATTAAATTATTTCTAATACGGATAAATTTGTAAATTGACAAAAAGCTTAAAATTTCTATAAATAAATAATTTTTTGAAAGTAGTATTTCAGTGTTCCATTAAACAACTCCATATTTAGTTACTACTCTGCGATTACCACAAATCGGTTAATTTAATAAATCATATAATAACAATTTGTTAGTAGTACCTTCGGGCCAGTTGTCGTAGACATGTATGGCGATGTCACCGGCCGAGTCGATGGGGCTGAACACGAACTCCTTTGTCTTGCCGGACACCAAGATCAGGCGAAGGTTTATCTGGAACGACATAAAATAAAATATTCAAACATATTATTTAATGAAATAGAGCAAAACAAACATTATACTTATTAACCCTTAAGTCATTTAGTTGTTAGTTAAGTTTATTAAAAGGAATACACACAAAAATACCACCAATCACCGCTTAATTACCATATCAACATAAAAAAAATTAACACAAACAAAGATAAACAAAATATGATAATAAATAGAAGCAAGGTGAACGGACATGGCCCTGCCGTATATATTTGGCAGTTTGAAGGTTATATAAAATATTATCAAGTAATTAAAAATAATTAATTTATTACATAAGATGAGACTGTTATGTATGAATCTTTGTTCTGTTCTTATCGTTATTACTACAGCTTACTTGTGTAAAGGTATGTTTATACTTTCACGTCAAAAGCGAACAACTCTTATTGAATCAACAACTCTTTTTTTTTTAATTTATTTTATTTTATTAAATTCATTATATACTGAAAAAGGTTCATAATGAAAAATGCTTAAAAACTCCACTTCGCCCCTGGCACTCTGAAATGAGAAACGAACCCATGATCTTCCGCAATCCGGGCGACTGCTCTAACCACTTAGCTACCCAGGACCTAACAGGACTGGCGAATTTTTCAAGCACTAGTTATTTTACAGAGCGTATTCCCATCAATGTTCAGGCAATCCACTCAAACAGCAAAGAAATATTATTATAAGAAAAAATATTAAAAAATATTTTTACAAATATGTATTTGAACTTTCGATGAAAATGAAAATTTGCTCTAATTATTATATTTGATCAATTTTGCATTCACAGCGCTATACTGAAAAATATTATTGATGAAAAATTCTTAAAAATTCACTCCAACAAAGTATTTTTTATGTGTTTGGCCAACATTAAAAAAAAAACAAAATCAAGCCATAACCTTGTACGTCCAACATAGGTAGGCAGGAATATAAAAGCTTTGTTTAGATATAGATCGAAAATTATTCTTATAAAAAATAAGCTTAGTTAATATTTTTATAACAAAGATAAAATAATTAATATTAAAAATATGAATAATAAGAAAATAAAATATAAACTCGCGACCCCGCCAGGATTCGAACCTGGAATCTTCTGATCCGTAGTCAGACGCGTTATCCGTTGCGCCACAGGGCCGATGAAGAAATATGTTAAATTGACCTATATTATCTACGAATGCTTATTTACGTAATAATTAAATAGTAAAATATTGGTTTGTGAATTAATGCTCGAATGTGAATGATATTTAGTTCCTACCACTACAAAACAAATATTTATTGAATAAGCACTATTCTACGGTAAATAAGCACTTTGTAACGAAGGGAACAACGATCACATGTTAATTAATGTTCTCAAACTAGATGCTGGATTTTTAAATACAATGTTAAAAAAAGTTTGACGTTACAAAATAATTAAATAAAACAAATAAGCGTAATCCGAATTTATAAGTACAAGTGTCCGTTCACGCATTATTGTTCTGCTCGGTTTTTGTAACCAAAGCTTATAAGCAAATTGACAATGACAGAAGAGACAAAGTGAAATTGAGAAGTGTGTACTTATTCTGTTCGGATAATGGTTTAAACCAGGTACTAATGTTAGTCCTCGTTTTATAATAATACCATGTTAATTAAATTTTATTATAAATTAAATACAATGTAAAAGGCATTAGGTTTCCAACCTTTTTAATAACATAATATGATAATTATAAATAACAAAACTCCCAAGTAACATTTTTCCCAAGCATTTTTCAAACCGTACTAGGTCGTGTACACGCGTCAAGAGGGAAGGTCAGGGGTCTTCCGACCGCCGTATTTCATATTTCCCACTGTGAAAGGAGCCATCCTTTTTGCCTTTCCCGTGTTCATTTTGCATAAGAATCTACTTTATGGTGGCCCTTTAGATGATAATTTAAAAATAAAAATTTTAATTCAAGTATAACATACATTTAATATATTTATATTGTTGTAATTGCACTTTCTATATCAGTATTTTTAAATACTCATAAGCTTCTTCGCAAATTGCTTTTTTGTTTTTTTTTGTTTGCGCATGTTTCACCAATCTTTGACGGAGTAAAAAAAAAAATAATTAAGAAAAACATTATAACCGACTTCAGAAAATTCAATTAAAGCGAAAAATAATCGAAGAAACTTCTAATAATTCGGGCAGGTAATATTGATAACGTACGCAAAGCCCCCGCACTATAAAAACTTTTTCAATTAACTTATTAGATATAAATACTAGTATCATAATATCTGTGTAAGCGAAAGTGTGTGATGTGTTTACGCAATTTTGTATATAATTAACACAATATATAAACAGAGTGAGAGCTTCGGGATTCATTTCCACCCTCAAAAGCTGAACATTTTTAACCGATGTTATTGCAGAGACAAAGGGAAAGATTATTGAGTGCACTTCGTCTGTTTTCTTAAGGGGCGGGTGTTATTTATTGTACAAATTGTTGGAGTACGTTTCGCCGTGAGTAGGGTTGTCGACTTTGTTTATATAATATGATTTATATTGTTATTTAATTAAAATGAATTTTATTGATTAAGTCGAGTTTTTGCCGATTAACAATAAAAAATAAGTAGGTTTCTAAATATTTCATATTATAATCATTAATAACAGAATGGCAAATTAATAATTTAAAAATATTTTCATAATTGTAAAGTACATGCTTCGATAGATTGAAGGTTTGTATAATAAGATTATTTTAAACAATGATAGACCAATAAACAGGCATTTAGCTCTTGAATCAGTGACATCTATCTTACTGCGCTAACATCTCCACAGTAATCAAAAGCACGCGAACACTATAAGCTACGAACCTAGTAAAACAAAACCTACACAGATAGCACAGAGGTGTAGCCTACATCTCGCCTACAAAAGTTCTACAATTTCCTACCGATATCGGTTGGACCGTAGTTATTAGCTAGAAATATGCAGTTCAGGGGGAGACAATTTCCCGTAACACCTGCCTTCACTGCTGGCACGGTCACAACTTCACAATCACCTCCGCTGTTAATAACATGTTAATGAATATTAACCATCCAAAAGAGCGTGGCAAAGCCGTAACAAGTGGAGAACAATTGCAGTACTTCTCTGCTGCCCTCTTTAAGAATACGATAAATCATAAGAGTTAGATTACGGCATAATCTATTTTATTTATATTAAAGATACAAATATCATAAGAAGTAACAAAATCATTAAGTGAACCCAATAGATACTTATTTCTTATATAATTTTTTCTTTATTATATTTGGTGATGTTGGGAAAATGGGAACCCTAGGATTGAGTGACAGAGATAGGTAGGTTGTATCTACCAATTCGATGCGCAATTTGTCAATTTCGCGAATGTAATATGTTTTATCTCATAAAATGTAGACTCAATAGTGACCTATTCTTTCTCACTCATTTTATAAAGTGTAGGATTTTAACCAGAAGGATTAATAATACACATAACTTTATAGGTTACAAAAAAAAAACAGCATTGAAAACTTCCCTTGTTAAATTTTTAATAAAAAAAACTCACATTATACTCTATTTATGTACCGTATAGCTATTCTGTTATAAAATTGGCATCGACCTTGACGTCGAGCACAGCGCAGTCACAGCATAGAGGTTCGATGAAATATAAACTTTATTACCTTTTGAAATCGATTTCGTCAAGTTTGATGTTGAATTGAATTTTTTATAAAATGGCACAAGAATAAAAGAAAATTAAATGCGAATTGGATTCCATTTTGAAGTCCATGTAACACGTATTCTATGAAAATTCAACAGCCCTATGACTGGAAATAGACTGAAATACAATGAGATATGTCATCTATACTTTGTATTTATACATACACATGCAACAGGAAATCTGTGAAACCCAAGAATTATATAAATTCCTAGTATATAGTTAAATTCTTATAATAGACCTGGGGTTTGCAAATATGTGATTCCGAAATGGTTCAATAAAATGTGTGTAATAAAAGAATATATTAATAAATATCAATAAGAAAATTCTACCAACTTCTGGTACTATTCTCGCCCTGTTATACGTGTTCGCAGGACTATGCTAGCCTATACTTATAAGGAAAAAGAATAATAATTATTGCCCAAACTTAAAAAGCACTTTGCATCTCGAAACAGAATCACTTAATTTTCACACACATTTAAGTATTGCACTTTGAGTGTAGTTGTAGTTGCATTGCAGGCTAGACTAAACCGTAATTTTGACGTCAGTCCGCACCGACAAGGACCGGTGTGCCTACCCACTTGCGTAAGCGACGAAAAAAAAATACAATAGAATTCCGTTAAGGTACCACAACAAAGAATTCTTCTTTCGCTAAAAAAGTGAAAACTGTACGTACATACGTTAACGTGGCACTCGGCCGTAACAAATTAACAATGCGACGCTTAAGGCTAGTCCACGCATTACACGTACAGGAAAATTTTGTTATCAGTGAACAAAATTTTACATTACGTTTCTTAAAGTAAATCATATTCCCGTTTTCTTTCTCTCTTTTTTTCAACCTGCTAAGTTCGAAGATAAAAGAAAAAAGTGCCAAAAACACGCTGTTGTTACTTATGATAATAAAGGTTGTATACTACTACATTTATCAAAGTACCTGCAGTTTGTTGACTACTAATAAAATAATATTTAAATTAATGATTGTAATACAACATTTGAGTATTTTTCTTTGTTTATTTTTCATTGTTGTAGAGTATTTTATACAATTCTTATTATATTTATTTAACATTACAGAATACCGAATTTTACTTGTAGTAAATCGTTGATTCACAGATGCTCTTAAATATATAAAATAAAGTGCAATCATATTTATACTCAACGAAATAAACCTGAAAAAAATTGGCTGCAAATTCTATCTAACAAAACTATATTCACGAGTGGGTTATTAATAACGAAATAATCGAAACATTCTGTGACTAATGAAGAAAATATCAAACTCCCTCATCATTAGTTTATTGCAGAAGCGAGCTGGCA